AGGACGCCTACTTGTTGTTGCCATTGTTGCGTATACTATATAGCCCGATATAAGCAATATAGCATATATATAAATTATATATATCTGCTGGTACGCAGCAGATTGTGTGGGCGAATTTTGCATGTGTTTTTCTGATTGGGATGCGGATTCCGAGTGAATCAGCTGCGGCTGCCAAATGGGAATTTCTAAATGTTCCCAATCTGAATTGGCCATAAAGGTCAGAGATGCTGAAAACATATTCGAAAAGTGCGCCCAAATACGGTTTTGGATCGCAACGAAGGAGAGATTATTTTTAAATGGAATTTTACGGATAATTAATTCAAAGGGAATTTACAATTACTCAGCTGCATAAACATAAAATGGGAAAACGATCAATAAACAAGAAAGGAAACTAACTTCGGGAAGCCGAAGTTGAAATACCCTTGCATCTTGCAAATAAACTATAGAATCGAATACGACTTATTTAGCATTTATGCTAATAATTTGAGCAAGAGTATATCCATATATCCGTAAAATATATATAAAAATATTATAAATAATGTAAAATACAAATAGTAAATATAAATATCAAACACAAAATTATTAAAGGGATTTCATTTGTTCTCATTGCTATTTACAATGACTTCCACCCACTAGGACTTACAATCCACAACTTCCGGGATCAACTTTCCGTGGGAGAGCGCTTTTCGTTAGTTTAAATCTAATTGGGATCTACTTGCATTTCGTTTTCAAGGGGAAATATCAGAGACACAAACCATAATGGTGAATCGTAAGGAACATAAAGGAGGTGGGTAGAAAATACTCAGAAATAAAATAAAGGAAAATAAAAGATCGTCACTCACTTTGTTATTTGTTGCTGGAATTTGTAACTGAGAAAGCGCTTTTCCGCTGCCTTTTTGCAATTCTTCATTTACAGAAATTTTCACAAATTTATGCACCTTAAAAAAAATCTCAAAAAAACTCTCAACAATATCACAAATAAATGCACCACAAAAAAATTACAAAAAAATTTAAAATATGCACATACCCATGTATGTATATATGCATATATGTACGTGTTGAACCACCGAAAAAAAATTGAGAAAAGAAGGCTTTTCCCTTGCTTCGCTTTTCTTCCTTCTTATTTTCCTTGTGTCGGCATACCGATCGATGGAAGAAGATGCGCACAAAAGCGAGCCACAAAATAGCGGGACTTTAAATCACTTGCACATTTCGTTCTTTCACTCTCTCACGTCTCCTTCATTCTCTCCCGCTCGACAGATACCGAAAATTGCGAAATGGAGTCATGAGTTTTCCTCTCTCTTTCTTTTCCTCGCACTCTGCGACATTTTAATGGCGATCTTTGGCGTTGTGTATGTACATACATATTGAAGGATACACTTTATTTAGCACTAATTAAACACTTGTGCTACACTAAAAGTCCGCGGAGCTGCTAATTTTGTTTAATTGTTATTGCACTTTACTTATGTATGAGTTGTGTACTTCATTAATGCAGCTGCGAACGCACCAACTCCTTCGATCCTAATTGCCCAATAGGATTTCGTTGATACACACCGGTTGCGTTATCCAATTGGATTAATAGGTTGTTCCACTTGTTTCACTCGCGTTTAATAAACAATTTGATCAGTTTTTACCACCTAACTTGGTTATTTTCCGCGCGTTTTTAGTCCGCAAATTTTCCGTGGCCATTACGCTGCCGTGAATTTACGATTATGGTATTGGTATATCGATGCTTGTATTCTTAGGGAGTATCGTTAAAGGAGTTTAGTATCGATATATCGGGATCAACTTCCCGTGAGAGAGCGCTTTCGTTTGTTTACATCCAATTTGGAGACCACACAAATGTATCTTAATCCGGGATCAATTTCCCGTGAGAGAGCGCTTTTCGTTAGCTTAAATCTAATTTGGAGACCACACATATGTATCTTAATCCGTAAGAGAGCGCTTTTCGTTTGTGTATGTCGAAGGAGGTTTTTATAAATATTTTAGCTTTAAGTATTTTGCCATTGGAATTAACCTGCAATGTGTTTGCATTTTAGGGATAAATTTAAACTTGATAAATACTTGGGATTTGAAGAATATGTATCTTGTAGAATGGCTTAAAATGGGTCCACTTCTAGGCTTAAATATGTATAATGAATAAATAATATAGCTTATAAAAAAATGTATATACAAACACAGATGTATTATCATAAACGTAATGAATAATTAAGAAACATAATTGTGGATTGTAATTATCTAGACTTGAAATATGGATTTAAAGATTGGATTAACACTGCTTTACAGATACAATTTTAAATTGTAATAATTTATTTATAAAAAGAGCAGAAGCCTTAATAAATTCAGCATATTTTGCTCCATATAATTTTATTATTTTTATTGCCATTCAAAGTCTGATTCCCGATTTGTCAAGTCATCCTTACCTAACAGAAATCTGTCTCCCATTTTGGCATTTAAACCACAGAGGTCAGCATCTGGGGTTGACACCCCTCACTGAACGGAAGCGATAAAGAAAGCTCCAGTATCTACTGTACAGATCGAGAGAGAGAGATTCAGAGATTCATAGATCCCTCTCGAGATGATTGAGTGAGGTGAGTGGAGCATCTGTATATAAACAAATCATTCGCCTCGGCATTCCAGCGAGATGGTTGTTTACATTCATACCTCATCTTGTCCAGCTCTGCTCTGCTGTGCTCTCACCTGATCCCAAATTCTGACGTCACAATGCGGCCACATGGCCCATCTATTTTTGGGCAATTGATCTCTATATTTAGGCCTTCCCACTCGGCCAAGCGATGGCAGCAAACAAACAACGATGACGTCGACTTGAACTTGAATATGTGTTCTTATGAGTTGGAGCATTAGAAAGATGTCTCTCTCTATATATATCCCTCTCTCTCTCTCTCTCTCTCTCTCTCTCTCTCTCTCTCTCTCTCTCTCTTTTCCTCACTCTCTATCTCTCTCTAAGTTATGATTCCTAGAAGAGTATGATCATGGCTCAGGAGAGGCTTGAGAGGAGAGGCTCATACCAATCTCTATAATTAGCTGCTACTGATAAGGAGGCTGTGTCTTAGCTCAAATCCACAGTTGATAGTGGCTTCTCCAGCGGATCAGACATGTGGCTCTTCCTGATACTCCTCCTGCTTGGGGCAATCCTCCTCGTGGAGATGCTTCGCTTTGTGAGGATCATGAAGACGATTCCCTGTCCACTGCCATTGCCTCTGCTGGGCAATGCACATCTCTTTTTTGGTTTAACTCCGGCCCAGGCCTGCCTCAGAATGGGTGAGCTGGCGGAAAGGTATGGCGATACTTTTGGCCTGTTCCTGGGCCCCAAATCCTTCAGCGTGATGCTCTTCAATCCTCGGGATGTGGAGCGAGTGCTAAGCAGCACGCAGCTGCTGGACAAGTCCCATGAGTACTCCTTCCTGGGGCGCTGGCTGAACGAAGGACTGCTGGTTAGCAGTGGACGCAAGTGGCATCGACGACGCAAGATCATCACGCCGGCATTCCATTTCCGGGTGCTGGAGGCCTATGTCGAGATCTTTGATCGGAGATCCAGGCAGCTTGTCCAGCAGTTGGGTCAGCGGAGGGAGCGGGAGCAGGAAAACGAAGTCAATCTCGGCGAGGCCATTCATCTGTGCACCCTGGATGCCATTTGTGGTAAGTCTTGGGGTGTTTTTATTTATTTTATTTAACTTATAACTGATTTAATTTATTTAAAACTATATAATATATCAAGATTATAAGTATATATAAGTCAAAATCAAATCATATTGATAAGGATTCAAAATAATAGCAAAGCAGTTGAAGTTTTAGAACTATATCTATGGTTCTATATTCCAAACATTACCCTTTTAACAGGGTTATATTTATTTAAGTTCACTAAATTCATTTTTAAAATATTTTTCAACTCCAATCTCGATTTAAATCTCATCTTTAACCTTGTTTTAATACCCTTTTAGGGTATTATAATTTTAGTCAAAAGCTTGTAACTAAGTGAAGGAGTCATTTCCGACCCCATAAATCATATATATTATTGATCAGCATCAACAGCCGAGTCTTTCTAGACACCTCCGGCAGAAAAAAAAATTTTACCAATTTTTTCAAAATTTTATAAGGGGTTACATCATTAAAATTGTCAAAAATTTGAAAAAAAAAATTAATTTTTTTTAAATGTTAAATAGAGTATGCAGATTTATTATTCTAATAAAAACTAACATGGGAAAGCTTTCCGAATTAAAATTAATGCCTCTTTGACTTAGTTATGGGGTTTTTAAAATGTGATTTGTATGAAAAATTTTCATATAAAAATTTCAATAAATTTTGATCCTATTATAAAATTGCTAACTGGCTTCCTGTAGTTGATTTCCTTTCTTGTTGTTATTTATATTCTTAAATTGCTACGATTACCTAAATGTTCAGATTGATAAACAAATGCTAGGTATAGTAATCCAAATATCAGATGGGGGGAACCTATTCAAACATTGGCCCAAGGTCCAAATCTAGCTCACAGCAATAAATGCCTAAATACAGCTGTATTCCTGATAAGATATCGAGAATCCGGGTCCCCGGGCTTTATTAGAAAACTCTTTTGGTAGTAACTTTCGCTGCGACAGCGCGATTAGATATTTTCCACGGCGATTAGCATCAGTCAAACACCTGCACTCGAAGAAATAAAGTGCAGGTGGGTGCATCTGTACTCGCAGCTAAGTTCCTTAACTTCCAAATATAGTTTTCCGTGTGTTTAATTTGTATCTCTAAGATACCTAGTGATTAGGAGAGTATCTGTATCTCTAGCTACCCATTTTAAACAATATTTAATACCCTTGAGTTGCCATACTATTCTCCCAGTGTAGTCCCTTGTGGATAATCGATGTTTATGGACGTATCCGTGCTGACTTTCATGTCCACGGTCACTGAGTTGCTAGATCAGTAATTCCTGCGCAATCAACGCGTGGAGATTGGTGGTTATTTTTTTGGGGTGAAAAGGAGCCGGAATAATGTTCCTGATCATCGGAGCCATCCTGGCCAGCGCCCTCTTCGTGGGCCTAATGATCTACCAGCTGAAGTTCAAGCGGTTGATCGACATGACCAGCTATATGCCGGGTCCGCCGGTTCTGCCCCTGGTCGGACATGGTCACCACTTTATTGGGAAGCCACCGCATATGATGGTCCAGCTGATATACGACTTCATGGACTTGTACTCGAAGGACCAGACCCTCAAGGTCTGGCTGGGACCGGAGCTGAACGTACTGATGGCCAATCCCAAGGATGTCGAGGTGGTGCTGGGCACGCTGCGCTTCAACGACAAGGCCGGCGAGTACAAGGCTCTGGAGCCGTGGCTCAAGGAGGGTCTGCTGGTCAGCCGTGGACGGAAATGGCACAAGCGGCGGAAGATCATTACACCCGCTTTTCACTTCAAGATCCTCGACCAGTTTGTCGATGTCTTTGAGAAGGGATCACGGGAACTGCTGCTAAATATGGAGCGGGATCGGGTCAAGCATGGGGATGCTGGTTTCGGTCTCTACGATTGGATCAATCTCTGCACCATGGACACAATCTGCGGTAGGGAGTTACATCCTTGGTGGTTGCTTCTTCAATTGATATATTTAGTCCCTGCTTATCGTTCTGTTGTTCTATTTCTTATATTTATCCTTCCCTTTCCTTTGCAGAAACCGCCATGGGAGTGTCCATCAACGCTCAGACGAATGCCGACTCGGAGTATGTCCAGGCCGTGAAGACTATATCGATGGTTCTGCACAAACGCATGTTCAACATCTTCTATCGATTTGACCTGACCTATATGCTAACACCACTGGCCCGGGCCGAGAAGAAGGCCCTGGATGTGCTGCATCAGTTTACGGAGAAGATTATTGTGCAGCGACGAGAGGAACTAATCCGTGGTGCCGCCAACAAGGAGACCACCGCCAATGAGGAGGATTCCGATGTGGGGGCCAAGCGAAAGATGGCCTTCCTGGACATCCTGCTGCAATCGACGATTGATGAGCGACCTCTCACCAATCTGGATATACGCGAGGAAGTGGACACCTTTATGTTCGAGGGACACGACACCACCTCCTCGGCTCTCATGTTCTTCTTCTACAACATAGCCACGCATCCGGAGGCGCAGGCTCGATGCTTCCAGGAGATTCGTTCCGTGTTCGGCCAGGACAAGAGCACTCCGGTTACCTACGAACAGCTGAACAAGTTGCACTACGTCGATCTGTGTATCAAGGAGACCTTGCGGTTGTATCCATCGGTGCCACTGCTGGGTCGGAAGGTGCTCGAGGATTGTGAGATAAGTGAGTGTTCATCAGGAAAGAACTGAGAAATGTAAGTTAAGTTTCTTCTTACTCGGTTTCAGATGGAAAACTCATCCCTGCCGGCACTAACATTGGCATTTCTCCGCTGTATCTGGGCAGACGCGAGGAGCTGTTCACCGATGCCAACAGCTTCAAACCGGAGCGGTTCGATGTGGTTACCTCGGCGGAGAAGCTCAATCCCTACGCCTACATTCCATTTTCGGCTGGACCGCGCAACTGCATCGGTCAGAAGTTTGCCATGCTGGAGATCAAGTCCATTGTGGCCAATGTGCTGCGGCACTATGAGGTGGACTTTGTCGGAGACACTTCGGAGCCGCCGGTGCTGATCGCAGAGCTTATCCTGCGCACCAAGGACCCGCTGATGTTCAAAGTGAAGGAGCGAGTTTACTGAAACACACTTTTACTTTTAATAAATGTAAATAAATTAAAGCTCTCGAAACGTATTTAATTTATTAGGATTCCCTTTTTTAAAACAAGTCAGGTGCCTGAAAGTGTGCCACCAATAATTTAAACTAAAAAGCAAACAATTCATGTGAATAAAAATATATTTTTCGAAACTTCGACAGCCAATTTCTAATTAAATAAGAACTGTAGCTAATTTCTTTAATCGAAGAATTCATTTCTTAACATTTTTGTTTTTTCCTTTGTTTTTCTTTTAGAATTGGAAAACCTTCCTACACACTCAATTTTAAATTCAAAAACGCCGCGTTATTATGGACGCCCCCTGGCGGCCAACTATCGGCGCCGTGCAGCCCTGCTGCGCTAACCAACACTTTCGCTGCAGCAAGAGGAAGCACACGTAAATTCCGCAGCCAAAATCGGTCCCACTAATTCGTAGTTTCTGCAAAAAACAGTGAAAATAAACTTTTTCGTGCATTTCGTTCGTACAAAACCCAATAAAAGATCCAAATCAAGCAAGCGGTAATGCCCCGCCGCCTCGTCGCGTTAATTAACCCAGTGCGCTAGCCGGATTTTAAGCAACAAACGTAAAATCAAAGATTCGCAGGAGAAGAAGAAGAAGAACGGACAGCAGCAGCAGCAGCTATAATTGTGGCCGTACTGTTGTTGTTGTTGCTTGTATTGGTCGTATTGGTGTTTTGTGATTGTGTTGTTGTTTTTGTTGTTGTTGCTGCTGCTACTGGCCACTGGGATGATGATGGTGATGATGCTGTAAAGCAAAGTAAAAGTGGTGGCAAATACAACAAATACATGCGTGTGTGTGTGCAACGGGACTGCAGTTGCATGTGCAGCGAACGCGGGATGATTGTTGTACTGGCAGACCTGGTGACAATGATGGTATAGATGATGAGGTACCATTGCCATCGCATTTAGTTCGTGCACTCGCAAAAATATCGAACAGTTTTCGTGCGTGCCACAAAAATTGCGCCAATAAGCAAACGCAAACATAGTTTGTTTTATTGCATTCCTCACACACGCACACACACACAAACGCTGAGAGGGCCCGCGGAGAGACGCACACGCATATGTACATACATATGCGCTGCTGCGGCAACAGAGATTTTGACCACTCACACAAGGAAAGAGACACACGCACACACACACACACACACCCACATGCATTCACGCAGCAAACGGAGCACAATAACAAAACAACAAAAACAAAGAGCAGTCAAATGAATTACTTGAGGTGAGTTCGCCTGTGCAACGCACAAGATTCAGTAATTCAGCAATTGCAGCAAGCCTCCTAGGCAACAGCAGCAGCAGCTAAAGTGCAACAAATTGTTTGTTTATGATTTTGGTCTTGACTCGGATTGAGGAGATTGCATGTGAAAATTGGAAATCGCTCGCATTCGCCTATGTGTGCGTGCGTGTGTGTGAGCGCGCGCAGTATTGTGTGCTCGCTCGCACCCGCCGAGTCCTTGCGGTAGAGCGTTTGTTGTGTTTTGATGTTGCTGCACTTCTCGCTCTGCTCTGCCCCGAGCCAAACAAATCGCTCACTAAATTTGCCTAAAAATACAACAAAAATAGTCCTTACTGCGCTTAAATAGGATTATCTAAATAAATATGATGGGCTCCAGCTGGGATTATCCTGCTCCAAGCGCACACGAAGCTGTTTTCGCCATTCGGCAGCCAGGATTTCAGGCTTTAAGGCTCAAGCCTTTGGTGTCCAAATATTCAATGTGTACAGCTTCGTATGCCGCACAAGTGGCATTTAAAATGCAACAAATTTAGGCTTTTAGATGGTTTATAATGCTTAAAAGTGGAAACTAAAAGGTATTCCAGATTTTTAATCAAAAGAGTGGACTAGGATCAATAAACACTGCAATTGCTGCATCGAATCCTTGCCCAAATACTTAAATATGAATAAATACTAATTATAATCCATTGCAGAGATCTGGTTGCCAAGGATTAGAGCCATAATCCACGAGTGAGTGAGGATACGCCACCAGGAAGGAGGAATCAATCCCGCCAACAGCAAAGATGTCACGCTGGGGCAAGAACATAGTGGTGCCGCTGGATTCGCTCTGCAAGGAGAAGGAGAACACCAATCGGCCCACCGTCGCCCGATCGGTGGGCACCGTGGGCAAATGGGGCAAGATGGGCTTCACTTCCACACGCACCTACACACTGTCCGCCCTGCATCCGATGGCAGCGGCTGCGGCGGCGGCTGCTGCAGCCGCCAGTCCCGCACAGAGTCCAGCCTCCACGCACGACCACGATCCCAACGACATGTCCGTTTCGGTGCCGGAGCCGCCGAAGCCGAAGAAGTTCTTCAAGTCGCGCAATGCCGCTCCGCCGGAGGTTATTGCCCAAATCATACAGCAGCTACCGCATTGCGGTGCGGGTGCATCGCCCATGCGGGAACAAGCATCGACTGGTGGCGGCGCCACGCCCACCTCTGGAACCCACGAGAGCGGCGGTGGACTCAAGCTGAAGCTGGGCAAGGGCGGCAGCTCCGCAGAGCGGAAGCGCAAGTCGCCCAAGAAGAAGGCCGCCGCAACGCCTACGACGCCCGGTGCGTTCTTCGGCGGTTCCGATCGGGAGCGGGATAAGGAAGGCCTGAGTGATCCCTCGGACCAACCGGAGCCGGGTGACGAGCCGCGTGGCAGTGCGTCGGCCAAGAAGAAGAAACCCAAGGAGGAGAAGAAACTAAAGCCGGAGGCGCCGCCGTCACGGATCCTGGGTCGCGCCCGCAAGGCTGTCAACTATTGCGAGGTGGACGATGAGGAGCGCTATCCCACGCCCACCAAGGATCTGATCATTCCCAAGGCGGGACGCGGTCCAGCGGAAGCGACGGCAGCGACTGCCTCGGCCATTTCATCAGCGTCAGGAACCGCCACCGCCACCTCGGAAGCCTTTATCTCCTCGACGGCCGGCAGCCCTGGGTCTGGACCGGCGCTACCTCCGCCCACATCGGCGCCCAGTGCTATCACGGTCCCGATACCCCAACTGTCCGCCGGTGCGTCCAACCCGCCGAGCGCTTCCCGGACGCCGGAACATCCTCCCATAGTGCTCCGCATCTCCAAGGTGAGTGAATCGATTCCCCAAGCAATTCTCACCTGGTTGTTTTGTATATCCCGATAATCTACAGAAATTTAAAAAATATTTTGTATTATTATTATTATTATTTAATATTAATATTAATATTAATATTACCATCTTCACATAGTTCCGTCTCTGCCTTATCGCTCTCTCTCGCTCTTTCTCGGTAAATTTCACCCAGCAAACAATTATCCCAAATGCAACCGTTATGTTTTTGTGCTGCGATCGTGCTCTCTCTTCTCTTTCCCATCCCTAGCACTGCTTAACGCTGCTCTCACTTCCAGCTGCTGCTGGCCTCTCTCTCACACACACACTCTTCTCCCCCCTTCTTCTGGCTTGCCACTAAATGCGGGGGAAAGAGAAAGCGCGCGAAACATGGGCAACAACAACAAGGCCGTGTTAAATTACGCGCGCTTTTACATCGAAGTTGAGTTGAGTCGAGTTTCTCTCTCTCCTCTCTCTCTGTCTTCTGCCACTCGCGTTCTCTTCCGCTTTGTGAGTTGTTGGTTTTTGTCGTACGCTTCCATTCGTCTTCTTTTCCTCGCTTCGCATTTTTCTTTTCATTTCTTTACATTTCTTTGGCCTGCTTTTCCTCGGCATTCGTCGGTGGCTTCTTACTCAGTTCGGTTCGGTTCGGTTCAGTGGAGTGTTAATTAGTGGGAAGCGCGACATTGCCTTTGCTTCTCAGTTCCTATTCTGCTTCCAGTCAGTGTCAGTTTCCAGTGCCAGTCTCAGTCTCAGTCTCAGTCTCAGTTTCCAGCCAGAAGTGAGAGGCGCACACCTGCAGCGGCGTCCCCATTGGAAAAGCGAACTAAACTCCCGTTTATTTGCAGGGCACATCCCGTCTGGTCAGCACAGATAGCGAGGAGCCGCCGAGCAGCTCGCCCGCTCACTACAATCAGCAGCAGCTGGCCACGGAGCCGGAGCCGGCGGATCGGAGTGCAGACGAAACAGTTCCTCCTGCAAGCACGCCAAAAATCATTGTGAAGCCGCTGAGGCCGCCGGACTCGGCGGAGGGATCAGCAGCAGCGGCAGTGACGGAAGCAGCAACTGCCACCGAGGCGCAGGACAACAACGAGGACGAGGAAGACGAGGAGGAGGAGGAGGAAGAAGAGGAGGAGCCGCCCGAGATCAACTACTGCACGGTGAAGATATCACCCGACAAGCCGCCCAAGGAGCGACTCAAGCTGATCATCAAGACGGACGTGATCCGCAACGCCATTGCCAAAGCAGCCGCTGCCGCGGAGTCGCGCAGCGAGAAAAAGTCCAAGAGCAAGAAGCACAAGCACAAGCAGCTGCTGGCGGCGGGATCAGCTGCTCCAGCAACCGGAGCCTCCACGCCGGCAGAGATTAGCTCGGAATTCAAGACACCCTCACCTCATCTGGCCCTCAGCGAGGCGCAGCAAACGCATACGCATCCGCATCATCATCACCATCTCCATCCGCAGCGGGGATCCGCGGTCATATCGCCCACAACGCGCTCTGACCACGACTTTGACTCGCAGTCCTCGGTGCTGGGCAGCATATCCTCCAAGGGCAACAGCACGCCGCAACTGCTGGCGCAGGCTGTGCAGGAGGACAGCTGCGTAATCCGCAGCCGGGGCTCGAGCGTGATAACCAGTGACTTGGAGACGAGTCAGCACTCGTCGCTAGTGGCCCCACCCTCAGACATTGAGTCGCGTCTGGAGTCCATGATGATGACCATTGACGGCACTGGTACGGGAACGGCGGCTGCGACAGCATTGCCCGAAACGCCACTCCAAGAGGACATCCTGGCTGTGCTGCGTGGCGAGGTCCCGCGCCTGAATGGCAACACAGATGCCGTGGCCAACGAGGAGCACCAGCAGGAGCAACAGCAGCCCAAGAGAGCCACACGTGGCCGGGGTAGGAAGGCAAATAACAACGTAGAAGTACCTCCTCCGGCTACGGAGACCAGAACACGAGGCAGGGCTAAGGGAGCTGATGCGGCTGCCACTGTGGCGGCCATTTCACCGCCGACGCCGAAGAGGAGCACGCGAGGTACACGTGGATCGAAGAAGGCCGAGGCGACAACAGAGGCGGACATGGAAGTGGACGAACCTGCAGCGCCTGTGGCGGTGAATGAAGAGCAGTTGGACCAGGCTGCGGCGCAACCTTTGCCTTTGCGGAGAGGACGCAATGCCGCCGCCCGGGCCAATAACAATAATTCGGCCAGCATCAATAATAACATCAACAAGATAGCCGCCAGTCTGTCGGCCAAGGCCAAGGACGAAGCCAATCGCCTGGCGGAGGGCAGTGGAGCGGCGGCGGCAGCAGCACCAGCACGTAGCTACGGCCGGAAGCGGAAGAACCAGCAGGTGGCACAAGCCCAGGTGCAGCCGGACGAGCAGCAGCAGCAGCATCAGGCGCCCGATCATGAAGAGGAAACGCCCGAGGGCGAGGAAGAGCACCCCACGCCAGCCAAGATCCCACACAGGGACCACTCTCCGACGGATCACGACCCGGATCCCGATCCCGATGATCTCTCCAACAATTCGAACAACTCTTCGATGCAGCACGATGGCTCCTCCTCCTCACCTCCGCCGCGTGACTTCAAGTTCAAGGATAAGTTTAAACGAACCCTGACCTTGGACTCGCAGGTGGCGGCCAATGCCGGAGCGGCAGGTGCAGCAGCAGCGGCAGCAGCAGCTGCAGCGGCGGCGGCAGGAGATGCGGGAGCAACGGCAGGCACTGGAGTAACGACGGAAACGGAAGCCTATGGCGAGCAACGTGGTGCCGTCAAGTTGGTCATCTCGAAAAAGAAGGGCAGCATCTTCAAGAGCCGCGCCCTAGTGCCATCCGATCAGGCGGAGCAAGCGTCTGTGGCCAAACGTCATCTGTACAAGCACAGCTGGGATGCGGCCCTGGAGGCGAATGGCGGCGGAACGGGTAGTGATGCAAGCAACGCCTCTGCTTCGGGCGGTGGAGTGCCTGGAGCCAAGGATCACCTGCTACACCATTTGGCGGCGGGCAAATCCGATGGTGACTTCGGTGATAGTCCCTCGTCCAACAATAATGGCTCCTCCAGCGGCGGCAGCAGTGTGTCCACGCTACGTGGCGACAGTCCGGCATTGGGCAAGATCTCGCGGCTGGCGGGGAAGCAGGGAGTTCCCACCGGCACAGCCACCGGAGTGGATGCTTTCGATCTGGACCTGGAGACGGGAGCGGAGGAACTGGGCGTAGAGAGATCGACGGCAAGCGGAGCTATCAGCGGAACAGGAACAGCAGCTGCTGGCGGAGGAGCTGCCGGCAGCGGTGGTGGACCCATTCGTGTCGATCGCAAGACAAAGGACTACTACACCGTGGTGCGGAACGTGAAGACGGCTCATCAAATTCAAGAGATTGGTGAATACCAGGAAATGGACGATGATGTCGAGTACATTCTGGACGCCCTGCAGCCGCACAATCCGCCGGCAACCCGATGCCTTTCGGCCCTGCAGTTAGCCGCCAAGTGTATGATGCCTGCCTTCCGGATGCATGTGCGTGCCCACGGCGTGGTCACCAAGTTTTTCAAGGTGAGTAATCCTCACAGTAGCTTCTCATTTCATCGGTTTCATTACCTCGAAGCAGCTGTTGAGGAAACTCCAATTGCTAGTCTTGGAAGAGTTAATTGTTTATTCAAATTCAGTCTTCTTTAGTTTCATAAAGTGGAATGAAGTACCAAGTACATAATCATCATATCATATTGGCCGACTAGGCGCAATTCTTTGAATTGCTGAACAAACAAAATTGTATATATCACAATCCAATAATTGTTAATGTGCAGAAAGCTCTAGAGTTTCATTCAACACTTTTCACTGACAATAATCCTAATACATTACTTTAATGATATTTATTTAATTCCATTTTCCATTCCTTTATATTTAGGCCTTATCCGATGCCAACAAAGACCTCAGCCTGGGCCTGTGCACCTCTGCCATTATGTACATACTGTCACAGGAGGGCCTCAACATGGACTTGGACCGTGATTCCCTGGAGCTGATGATCAATCTACTAGAGGCAGACGGTGTCGGTGGTGGCACACTGGTCGGGCACACGGATCGAGCTGGCTACGAGCGGAACAAGCAAAAGGTGCGTGAGCTCTGCGAGGAGATCAAGGCCCAGGGCAAGGGCACGCATCTCAATGTCGACTCGTTAACGGTGGGCACGCTGGCCATGGAGACGCTGCTCTCGCTGACATCTAAGCGGGCAGGCGAATGGTTCAAGGAGGATCTGCGCAAACTGGGCGGACTGGAGCACATCATCAAGACCATTTCGGACTTTTGTCGACCGGTGATTACCTGCGAGGCCAAGGAGATATCGTGGCTGCCGGCGCTGCTGGATAATATGCAGACGGTGGCACGCTGTCTGCGAGTCCTCGAGAATGTGACGCAGCACAATGAGGCGAACCAGCGATATATGCTCACCTTTGGGCAGGGTAAAGCCGTGGAGACGCTCTGCCAGCTGTACCGTCTGTGCTGTAGCCAGCTAATGCTGCATCCGTCGATGGACTGTCCGGGCAGTAATAAGGAGCATCCGGGCGTGGTTATGCGCGAGCTGCTGGTCCCAGTGCTCAAGGTGCTTATCAATCTGACCCACACCTTTAACGAATCGCAACCGTCACTGGGCGCCGAGTTGCTGGGCCAGCGCGGCGATGTTGTGGAGACCTGCTTCCGCTTGCTGCTCCTCTCGGCGAACTACATTCCCGATCACTGCGTCTTCGAGCTCAGCATACTGGTGAGTACCACGAAGTCCACATAAAATTCTTTATAGTTTTATATTTATGATCGATTCCATAGGTACTCACTCTGCTGATTAACCTGTGCATGCATACGGTGCCCAATCGCGCTGCCCTGATGCAGGCAGCCGCTCCGGCCGAGTACGTGGCTGATAATCCACCGGCACAGGGATCCGTGAGTGCGCTGCAAGCTCTGCTCGAGTACTTTTACAAATGCGAGGAGCTGGCCAGGTAAGAGAGATGGCACAACCACTGTTTGCACTCAATGTTCACTACATTTTTATTCACAACCCGCAGATTGGTGGAGAAAAACACGGACGCGTTTCTTGAGAGCAACGAGAAGAGCAAAAAGAAGCAGGAAGAGGTTGAGGAGACGGTCAACAATCGTGAGTATCTTTAGCATTCAAGCGTTTCATAAGATCTCCTTCTAATCCAACATTCTTTTCGTCAATAAATAGTCCTGCAACGCGCTGGTCACCACATGGAGCACACACTGAAGGGTAGCTATGCGGCCATTTTGCTGGGAAATCTGATCGCTGACAATGAGAAGTACGAGGCGTTAGTGCGACGCCAATTGCGGGGAGATAGCTTCAAGGAGATAATCGGTGTGCTGGAGAAGTATCACACATTCATGAACCTGACCTCCAGCGTGAGTTTTCCCCTTAAATCATTATCCTTTCCAGTTGCTTAACTCTATTTTATCATGTTGCAACAGTTGGAGGCGGCCTTTGTGGCTCACATGAAGTCGACAAAGCGCATTATTGATAACTTCAAGAAGCGTGACTACATCTACGAGCATTCGGATGACCACACCCTGCCCCTAAACTTAGAGACGACATCGACGGCGGCAGCGATAGCAGATGGAACGGACGGTCAATCCACATCCATAACTGCTACCTCGTCCACATCGCCACCGCCAGGATCGACGCGGGTGCAGCGCGTGTATAAGACGTACAGCAGCCACAGATAATTGCGATCTGTATCGGAATCGAAATGGGGATCCGCAGCAAAGTCGGATTGGAGAGCCATCCACACGGAAAGCCTGCCACCAAAATGAATTATGTTTTGTGATTATGTATGTAACTTGTTTATTCGCTGACATAGTAGCAGCCACCACTATATGGTGTGTGAGTGTATAGTATATGTAATGCACCTAGTTTCGGTCATCGCCCCCATCCCACGAGTATATATATTCCACTATATATAGTTAGCAACGATGCGATCTGTGCTTCGTATTAACCAAAAGTGATAGCGAAAGTTCTTGAACGTGGTCGGAGTCCCTTAACTGACGAGAAAACCGAAATGGAAATGAAAATGAAATGAACAACACAACACTAAACAGATCCAAATCCACCACAACAGATATGATGTGTACGTTATATAGTCATAAGCAATATTAGCAGCAGCGGCTTACACCCTCACAAAACACACCCCATACACCCATGTAAATATTGTTTAATCCAGCGATTTTATCGGACACGTCCTAGGTTTATTTCGAATGTGTGTTTTTTTTACTTTGTATTCTTACATTTATATTATATATTAAAGCATTACTATTTTTTTTTCTTGTACTTTACGACTCTTGCTACTGAAAAAAACAGCGAGAGGTTAGTAGCAATAGAGTTAGTAGCGAGACATGTGTGTAAAGAGAGGACGAGAGATGGGAGTAGCGATAGCCCGGAGTCGTGGAGCAGAATAAAGTTATTTTATTGCCTAAAACTAAGCTAAAGAAACTCTACTTATAAAACTAAAAACTGATCAATAAATAAATATATATATATACATATATATATATATATGGATATATGTGTACGTTTACAACCACAAAAATGTCAGATTTAGGCTACAAAAATCCAGATGTAACGATAGAAAAAGAAAACAAGCAACTGCACATGCGTGCGGATGAAGAAAGAAACAATTTCGGGAACAAAATATATGTATATTTATTTTGTGTTTTCAACGAGTACATCATATATTGTTCTTGCAGAAAAAAAACAAATCACAAAAATAAAACTAAAATTGAAAAAAATGCCACAAAGTTGTCTTAATTGTGAAAAGAGCTTATTTTAAATTTAAATCTACTATTTCTTGTCGCTCTCTCTTCTCTGTTTTGCCTGAAATATATTTTGAATTCACGCGGCAAACAATTTACAGCAATCGAAAATGAAAACTGACAATTTAAACTAACATGTGCCTTATCTGTGTTTATATATTTGATTATTAATTTAATCTGCCTTCGTAGTATACGTGTGCAAATTTATTTTTGTACATTACAATTATTTTAATAAAAATAAACACATTTCATTCAAATTTTTGTGCACGAAGGCTAAGCCGATACTCCAGCGCCACCCTCTGGATCGTTATCGATGCTATCGATAGTGTAATCGACTGTCTGTTACCACTAGTTCGCATTTATGTCATAACAATAAGCCGAATCGAAACCAGGGTCAACAAAACGCCGGCGTTATCAATTAAAAGACGCTCCAATTAGCCACACACTGCTCGCTGCCTCTGCCGCCACTTCAGCCACTTTCACCCGCCAGCCCAGTTCCAGGCAGACAGGATGTCGACCCGTCGCCAGGCGATCACGCTGTACAGAAACCTCCTGCGCGAGTCGGCCAAGCTGCCCTCGTACAACTTCAGGTGCGTGTGGTGAAATAGTCAAGTGTCCATTTGTTCCAGAATGTTTTCTTGGTGTTCGTTTTAGGATGTATGCTGCCCGCAAAATACGCGACACATTCCGCGCCAACAGGACCATCCGGGACTATGAGGAGATCGATCGACAAATGGTAGCGGGCCAGCAGAATCTGGAGCTGATACGCCGCCAGGTGAGTCGCGCGAGGCATGTGCTCGCTTATCAGCCCTCGCCCTCAGTTTCATAGTTTCTGTGTTTACATACTTAACTTCTCTGGGCATAACATCTTCCCTTTGCTTTGCACTCAAAGGCTGATAATATTCCAGAGCAAATAATCATCGCTGTCTTTCATTGAAATTCTCGAAAACTCTATACACCTGTATCGCAAAACTAAACTATTTATTTGTTTATATACCGCCCTTCGATATTATCCATTTTTTAAAGTCGAAAAGGGCTTTTAAAATCACTTATAATCCCGCAATAAACGTACACTTTTTCCATGTTCATCACACTTTCCTTATCAGCTTGTAGAGTTTATTAACCTTCTTCCATGTTTTTCTAATTGCCAACAGGTGATCATCGGTCATTTGTACACTACCGACAAGCTGGTCATAGAGAACAAGAAGACCCTGAAGCCCTCCGATGACTGAGGCGAACGGGTGCCAGCAAGGCGGTAGCTGAAGAGAGTACAATGGCAGGAAGGGATGTGGAGGAGGAGGAGCAGCAGCAGCAGCGAAGACACACAACTCGAAAGACTCGACCCACACATACCACACTCACACACATTGTTGATTTTAGTACAGTATGTTGAATCCATCAAAAACCAAGGAAACTAATTCATTTGCTAGCAAAAAAAACACCAATTTAATGTTATGTTTAACAACAATTATGAAATTATATATATACAATACAATATATATTATTAATGGTATAAATAAGTACTACAAGTACTCCAGGATAAAAAAAAAGAGTCAGCTAAAAGACACCGGCCGCCGGACTATGACATGGAATGTGTGAAAAGGGAAAGGAGTGAGCGACGTGGAGGAGCGCGACCTATGCCTGATAGGTGCTGGCGGAGACATTGCCGCCGGTGCCCGTCCAGTTGGTATGATGGAACTTGCCCTCCTGCCCCAGCAGCTCGTAGGTGTGGGCCCCAAAGTAATCACGCTGGGCCTGCAACAGATTAGCGGGCAGCTTGGCCGTCCGATAGCCATCGTAAAAGCTGAGGGCTGTGGACAGGGCCGGCACGGGGATGCCCCAGCGGAAGGCATTGGCAACCACCTCGCGCCACGAGTCCTGGCCACGATCGATGGCCTTCTTGAAGAAGTCATCCAGCAGCAGATTGGAGAGCTGCGGCTGTGACGTGTACGCGTCCTTGATGTTGCCCAGGAACACGCTGCGAATGATGCAGCCGCCGCGCCACATCAGCGCAATGCCGCCGTAGTTGAGCCTCCACTTGTTCTCGCTGGCCGCCTCACGCATCAGCATGAATCCTTGGGCATAGGACACGATCTTGGCGCAGTACAGGGCGTGCTTGATGTCGTCCAGGAATTTGGCCTTGTTGCTAACGGCGGGTTTCGTGGCGGGCCCCTTGAGCAGTCCACTGGCACGCACACGCTCATCCTTCAGGGCCGACAGGCAGCGTGAGAAGACCGCCTCGCCGATTAGCGTCACGGGCACACCGTACTGCAGAGCAGCTATGGCTGTCCACTTGCCCGTTCCCTTCTGGCCGGCAGTGTCACGGATACGCTCCAGTAAATGTCCCTTGGGTCCTTGTACTTGAGAATATCGCGCGTGATCTCGATGAGGAAGGAGTCCAGCTCCGCAGAGTTCCACTTGCCAAACTCCTCGGCCATTTGGTCAGCGGTGAGACCCAGGCTCTGCATGATGTGATACGCCTCGCAGATCAGCTGCATGTCGCCATATTCGATGCCATTGTGGACCATCTTGACGAAGTGACCTGCACCGCCATCGCCCACCCATTCGCAGCAGGGCTCTCCGTCGGCCTTGGCACAGATAGCCTGGAAGATGGGCCGGATGAGGGGCCAGGCAGCCTCGTGGCCACCCGGCATTAGAGAGGGTCCATGACGGGCTCCCTCCTCACCGCCACTCACGCCAGATCCCACGTAGAGAAGGCCCAGTTTGGCCAGCTCGTCGCAGCGGCGGGATGTGTCCTGGTACTCGGAGTTGCCACCATCGATGATCACATCGCCGGCGGAGAGCAGCGGCACCAGCTGCTGGATGAAGTCATCGACGGCGCTGCCAGCTGAAATTGATTAAAAATGTAAGTATTAGAAAGTTATATACATAATCTAGTGTAATGATTGCAATTTAGAAGGGAATGAGGCATTATATTCCAAGTAAAACGTTTCTATTTAACCAAGTAGAAATCGTTGAATAAGCATGCGAATGAACAAGGTCGATTGGTGGCTTTTGGAAAGTCACTGTTTGGATTTTTGGAGGTCACCGTGAAGCGTCCCTTGTCGGCACACACTCCTCCATTGGAACGCAACCGTAACGAAACGAAACGGAGCCAGATAAGGCCATTAGTTTTGCGATAGCATTGATCTATCTATCCGATCTATCTAGCGGTCGTTTGTATGCGGATACACCAATGGTGGCAATACAATATGATAGGAAACCATAAAGACTGGAGGAGTGCCTTCTTCACCAGATATATTTCAATATCTAAAAAGGATCGAATCGAAAATCGATCAATATAGTCTAATTTTTTGAATCAATATGTATGGAGTGTTTTATATGACACATCAATGTTTAAAAAACTCATAACTGAGCCAAAAATGCATTAATTTTAAATCGGAAAGCAGTCCTATGTCAGTTTTGATAAGGTTAATAAACCTGCATACTCAATTCAAATTTTAAACATTTTTAAATTTTTATCAATTTTTCAAATTTTTAATGATGTAACCCCTTATAAATTTTGAAAAAATTGGAAAATTTTTTTTTCTGCCTAAGATGGCTAGATCGATTCTACTGTTGATGCTGATCAAGAATATATATGATTTATAGGGTCGGAAATGATTCCTTCACTTAGTTTCAAGCTTCTGACTGAAATTGTAATACCCTGGCAAGGGTATAAAAATTAAACTTAACAAGTATATGCAAAACCTTGTTTTTAATTCAAATGAAAGTTCAAACAAGTTGCCATGCAACTTTCAAAATACAAATTCTCAAATATAGAATCTGGAAATCTATACGCATGACCTTTGAGAACCAAGTGATTCATGGGCCTGGCAGGTTTGCAGGGGAAGGTCGTTGGGACAAATGATAAAACTAAAACAGAACCGAAACAAAGGCGAAGAATGGATCTAGGATAGTCCACAATCCGAGGAAATCCCCTACAGACCCGAGGCTGATGATGTGGCCTAGAAGTCGCCTATTGTGTGTGAGCGTATGACCTATAATGAATGTCAGAGATTTCTCCCGTCCAAATAATGGGCAGGTTTAGGTAGGAAACAGCAAAAAGAGGCGATAAGCCGGCACGCTGATTAACGTACAAGACACTGGGCTAGAGGGGAGCGCGTGAGCGGCGTGAAGAGATCTCACCATATAAAAATGCCCGATATGTATTTTCTACCTTCGGTAAATATTACATTTTTAAACATTTAATTTTGGCAAATACTTTCTTTTTCAATTCAACAATTCAATAATAATTAAAGGTGTTTTATATTACTTTATTTATTATTTTACCGAATTAATTAACTATCACTCAAATCACGACCCCAATTAATTACCACCTCTAAGTTCAAACAAATCCAAGCTTTGATAAATCACTCAAGGCAAAACGCGACAATCGATAGTCGCGTGGCGTGGAGTGGATATCGCCTGATCTCGGAATGAGTGAGTGAGGAGAGAGGCAATACCAAATGAGTGGGGAGCGAGGCAAATGCAAAATATTATCGCTGTTGCTACTTCTCCTTCCACTCTTCACCTTCTTCTTCTTCATTTTCCCTTTGCACATTGCAATATGAACTTGCGCGTCATGAAACGCAACCACACAAAAATCCGTTTGATTTGATGACTTTGCTTTGACTTACACTCACACAAACACACAAGCCGAATGTAAAAAAAACACTCACACAATCGCTTACAACAGCAGGTTTTTGGAATTGCACAAAGAGTGTTAAAAAGCAAGCGAAAAACTCACCCTTGACCAGCAACATGACCTTGCGCGGTGTCTTCAGCTTGGAGACCATGTCCTGGAGCGAATCCGCGCCGATCACATTGGTGCCCTTGGCCTCGTTGGCCAGGAAGTCCTTGACCTTGGCCACCGTGCGATTGTAGGCGCAGACGACGAAGCCCTTCTCGTCCATGTTCAATATGAGATTCTGGCCCATAACGGCCAGGCCAATGAGTGCGATGTCGGCTTTTCTGCGTGGCAAAAACAAAACAATTTAATGTTTTTAAACAGCACAAGAAAATTGGAGGGAAAACGGCCACTTACCCGCTCATTTTGTGTGTATGTGTTTTCTTCTGCAAGTATTTTGGCTCGACTGCAATTCGCTGCTTCTGTTTTGCGGCACTTTCCTCTGCTTGGTTGTCCGTTCGCCGTTTTTTCGATGTTTTCCGTGGCGTTTGCCGAGTGAAACTGTCCGCTCGCTGGCGGACGCGAAACGATAAATGCAAAAAACCCAATGAGAGCGGAAGCTTTTACCGCGAAGCTTTCCGTGAGCGGCCAACAACAGCGATCGAAAAGCACTCCACCTTGAGCCGCCCTCTAGTCCACATTTCGCTCGATCACGCAGAGGAACAGCTGATGCATGGACTTGAGCACGCGTTTGAGAGAGTGGTTGTCTCACACATGCATGAGTTGAGAGCGTGTGAGAGAGAGAGAGCGCCTCTGAGAGAGCACAAGGCATTTGTGAGAATAGCTATCTCACTCTCCGGTTTTTTGGATCTCACAGATACACAGTCACAGAAGCAGATACTCCAGATGGGCGCTTGCAGTGAGAGAGAGAGAGAGGGAGCACCACTTTACCCTTGACACTCAACATTTTTGGGGGGCACAGAGTTGAAGCTCGTACGCGCTAAGCTTATATTTTTAAAACACTTTATTATGTTAAATTATATGGAGAAAAAAAACACGCAAACATTTTTAAAGCTTAAAATTGAAAGATTTGGGGGAGCCCCTTGATCAATTAAGCACCTTGTAGGGATTAAGGATGCCATTGGGGTCAAGGAGCCGCTTCATCTCTCGCATATAACCAATGGCCACCGGATCCTTGGAGTAATGCAGATAATCCTTCTTCAGGAAGCCAATGCCATGCTCAGCACTGATGCTACCTCTCAGCTTGGAGGTGTACTCATAGACGAACGGCTCCACACGCTTGTAAATCTCGTCATTAAACTCCTCACAGGACACATTCAGGTGCAAATTGGAGTCACCCAGGTGACCATAGCCACACACAACAGTGGCATGTGGACCACATCGTTCCCGCATCACATCCACAATGTTGTAGAAGTCACGCAGCGGCAGCGAGATGTCATACTTGAAGCAGAAACTCTTCTCGATCAGTCCCAGGGGCACCATTTCACGGATCTTCCAGATCTCCTGGACCTTGCCCGGATCCCCAGTGACAGTGCCATCCTGGATCTCACCGCGTTCCATGCCATCGCCTATAAACTGGTTGATCTTCTCCTCATCATGGGCCCCATTGCTGCCAGAGGTCTCGATCAGCATGTAGAAGGGATACCCGGAAATGGGTGAGCTGTAAGTTTAGAGACTCATTGAAGGTATTCCTGTACATCCCAGGATCAAGATTAACCACTCACTTGAGAAACTTGAACTGCTCCAGGGCCGTGTTAAGTGCCCGCTCATCGATCAGCTCACAGGAGCTGAGAATCTCTCCAAGATTCCGCTTGGCACTGACAAAGGTCTTCAGCACATCGTCAAAGGAGTTCAGACCAATAAAAGCCACATTGACGGACCGCGAGGAGTGGGGACATAGCATGGAGAGCTTGGTGACCACACCCAGTGTGCCCTCGGATCCAATAAACAGATGCTTCATGTGATAACCAGTGTTATCCTTCTTGAAATTGGACATGAGGTCCAGAACCTGACCGGTGGCCAGCACCGCCTCTACGCCCAGAACAGAGCCATGAAGATTGCCGTACCGCACCACCCGCACTCCTCCCGCATTGGTGGACACATTGCCACCAATATGACAGCTGGCCTTTGCACCCAAATCCAGTGGCACTGTGAGGCCCACATCCCTTGCCCTCTGATCAAAGTTCTCCAGGATGCAGCCAGCCTCGACGACTGCAATGCCGGTTACCTCATCCACGGATAGCACCTTATTAAGGCGTGCCAGTGAGAGCACAATCTCGTCACAGATGGGAACGGATCCACCCACCAGACCGGTGTTTCCACCCTGCGGCACCACCGCCAGGCGACGCTCGTTGCAATACTGAAGCACTGCAGCCACTTCCGCCGTGTTGCCCGGCTTCAGGACCAGCTTACTGTTGCCTGGAATAAAATATATCAATATATATTACAAAAAAATAGGATTATATAATGAGTAAGATGCATACCAGTCATATAATTTAATTGCACAAATTTCAAGAGAGCCTTAAACAATATATGAATAGTATGATGGTTTGCATCCCGTTCATTATATAAATAATAATAATACAAATCTATAATTATGGGATCATATAGGAAATCTATCATAACTAAGCTTAAAATCTTCAATTTAATTAAATATATATTTATGGAGATTTTTATATGGCAATTTCTTGCGACAAATCAAAGCTTAAAAAACTCATAACTAAGCCAAAAATCCATTAATTTTAATTCGGAAAGCAGTCCTATGTTAGTTTTAATTAAGTTTATAAATCTATATACTCTTTTTTAATTTTACAAAAATTAAAATTTTTATCAATTTTTTTGAACATTTTAACGATGTAACCCCTTATAAAATTTTGAAAAAATTGGTAAATTTTTTTTCTTTCAAAGATGACTAGATCGATTCTCCTATTGATGCTGATTAAGAATATATATGCTTTATAGGGTCGGAAATTATTCCTTCACATATTTTTAGCCTTTTGAATAAATGAATAATACTTTGACTATTATAAATAAATTATATAAAAATGCAGCTAAGTTTGCCTTAAACCTATAACTAGCTTTATAAAAATAATTAATTAAATATATAAAAAATCAGATAGATATTCTTACAATGATATATTTCAAAGTATAAAAGTTTTAGATACTTTAATATATCAATAAATAAAGCAGATATTATTATTCTTATTATAAAAGAGTTACGAGGATCTATATAATTTACAACTCAGTTTAGAACCCACCTCGTATCCTCTTCAGGAAGCATATGTTATATCCCTCCAGATCCTCGGTGAGGACATGGTTCTTGCCCAAAAGTTTCTCAAAGTGCGCCACATCCTTGTCGGTCAATGTGGCATAGTTACCCCGCTGCACATTGTCTGTGATCTATAAATCGGAGCAAGTATTACTATATATATACTGTAAGGAGCATGGACACGCCCACAATAACTTGAATCTTACCTGGGTGAGCTCTGGTATCGGTGACCCGCTACCCGCCATTGTGCGCACCATGGTGGTGGCTACATGAGGTGAGGTGACCGGAGATGTGGTGGTGACTGTGCTCCCAGTGGTGGGTCGCCGCATCAAGGTGGTGGCCCCGGCGCTGGCCAATCTGCGCACATGCATAAGCTGCTGGAATCTCATCGTGGAGGGGAGGGTGCTCACTGGGATGGGGGAGTGCTTAGACCGCTTTAAAGTCTCGTTTCTCTAGAAAGGTAGTAAAGATTGAAGGAGAGTTCTTTAATTAATAAGATTAAGGTGTCTTGTAAATATAAATATATAAAATTCTAAAAAACATAAATTAAACAGTGCTGAAGACAGCTAAGAGATACAATGTTTCTATTATCATGTTGCGCAACATTTAAATAAAGACAACAAAAATGTAAAAGTTGCAAAAGTTCAATAAACACCTTTGCTTTAATTACTTCCAAATTCAACAGTCTTCTAAACCTTTGATTTAATTGTAAAAGATACAAATAAACACTAGTAAATAAAACACTGCAAATCACTTCTTTGGATATTAATGCTTTCTACGTATACCTTTCTATAGCTTTCTAAAAAAAACAATGGATTTATTGACTCGTCTGGCCCGATGGCTTCACTGGCCGCGATCAGACGACTTCCCAGACTGCCGGACTTCCCCCGGAGCAGAGTGATTCTTATCATCCCCTCAGAGCACCGATGTGTGTCAAGTTATATAGACGCAATCTTCTCCATATCGCACTGATAGCCCTCCCAATAGCCACCCAAGAGCACCGAACTTTTCCACTAGACCCCTCTATGGGGCTCTCTATATATGTTATCAGTTCCTCTCAACTTTGCGCGTGCATAAAGAAATTAGCATGTATATTTTGGGACACTCGTCGTGTCTATATACTATAGTCCGATATACTCCTAGTCCGATCCGTTGCAGTCTGTAAAGTCAAGATCTTTATGAGGGCCTCCGCGGCTTATCTCGCCATCGCCAGGTAGATCCCCGTAGCGGAGAGCGATCGTAAAACCATTTATCCTAGGATTCAGATACAGATACTGTAACTACCTGGCCTGGGTCTGCCCTTGTCTGGATGGATTCCGATAGCTATAGTACCGGAGAGTCACCGGGATTAGCTGCGGTAGCGAAGAAAATCATATTCTCCTTAAGAGTATCTCGGTTCTGCAAATGTTGACACTCATCCCAAATGGGTGATTATTTCGATGTACGTGATCAGTGATCACCAACAGACATGGCAAGTGTTTTTTTAAATTGCACAATAAATTAACCCATATAAAGTTTTGTTAGAAATATATTTTTCATAGATATTTTATATGACAATTTTCTTGACAAATCAAAATTTAAAAGACTCATAACTTTGTTAAAAATTCATTAATTTCAATTCGGAAAGAAGTCTAATGATAGTTTTTGTTAGGTTAATAAATCTGCATACCCAGTTTAAAATTAATAATTTTTGTCAATTTTTGAAAATTTTAATGGTGTAACCCCTTATAAAATGTTGAAAAAATTTATAAAAATTTGTTTTTGCCTAAGATGGCTAGATCGATTCTCCTGTTGATGCTGATCAAGAATATATATGATTTATAGGGTCGGAAATGATTCCTTCACTGGGTTTTAAGCTTCGGACTAAAATTACAAACTATGAAAAAAAAACCAAAAACTGGTATATTTATTTGTATTTTTCAAATCCAGTACAAATATAAAAACAAACAATGGCATTCCGAATAAGCCGATATATTTCAAATATTAAAAAGAAAAACAACTTGTTGAGCTTTCCAAAAGTCCATCTCTAATTAAATTTGTTTATTTTTCTTTGATTCCTCTTTCTCTCTATCTCCCGTATCTCGTTCTTTCATACGCGTATGTCTTTATTACGTCGAAAGATTAATAAGCATGTGTGTGTGTGTGTGTGTCAACGCGTGTTTTGATTTGAAGGCAAACAAAATATGCCAACAGGTTTTTTTGATAACCGGGATAGTGTTATCAGGAGCTACTTGTGCATATATTGTAAGCCGGTTGTAAAAACAAATATCCCGCATATGTGTATGTAAATTATACGTATTTGTAATCAAAAGTGCAATATATTTGCTTGGAAAATATTAGTTTACACACACACGCACACATCAAACGCATAGTGAGAGCAGCACGCGCCAATTGCGCTCACTGGAATGTTGGAAATGAGATGCTTAGCCTAAATCACTCAATTTATTTATGTTTTTTCACTCACACTTCTTGGGTTTTGCTGGTGGCGATCACGTTGGATTAAGTCAAATAATCCCTTTATCCATTAACCCTTCAGGAAACCTTTGATACTAATTTATAAAGTGAAGCGTGTAAGTCGCAACCACAACAAACCGCAACTAAATAAAAAACGCAAAAGAAACAGAAAATAAATGGAAAGCTGAGCCAAAAAGCATATGATCAGAGTGAAAGCTCTCAACAGCTGATTGAGCTTTTTGAGAAGAACAGACAGGTACAGAGAGAGTCTGTAAAATCAAAGTAAATATTTGAGTAGAAAACGATTTTAATTGTTACTTGAAAATATAATACATAATACTAATAAATATAGTAATAATATAAATATAAATATATTAATAATACGACATATTACATGATTGAGGAGTAACCAATTATTATATTAAATATTATCCCTATTAAAAGAAATATTATGTACCTAAATTTGAACTGTTCTCGTGAAAGATCCATTTATAAACAGCAAATCAATTAAATTAAAAAAATGAGGGGAAACCAGATCAAGTTAAATCTGTTATACGACTTATTTGAACTCACCACACTCTCTTGCCACTCTGCCACTCTAGCCACACCCACCTTCAGGCACTCGCAACGCGCAAGCCATGCCGCCATCTCATTCTCCCGCTCGTCTTAGACTATATTGCTGGCCCTGTCGCTCTCTTGAGCTGAAAAAAATTGTTTGGTGGTGCGCCCATTTTTTTATTCGCCTCAATCTTCCCGTCGGCATTTTGTATTTTCCTATACTGCCCATAGGCTGCATTGTTGTCTTGTGGTTACTATTGTTACTATTGCGTCATTGTTGTTGTTGTTTGTACAACAAAATGGCGAACAAAGAATAATATCTTTTTGCAACTAGAAACATAAAAGTTTTTCTTTTCTTTCCCTTAAATATATAATTTACCAATTGAAGGTCTATCGAAATTTTAAGTCTTGTTTTATTTAAGATTATCTTTATTATTATAATTATTTTTTATATTTAGATTATTAATTTTTCTAAAATTTTATAAGGGGTTACATCGTTAAAATTTTTAAAAATTATAACAAATTTGATTTTTAAAAATCATATTTTGAGTTTGCAGATTTATTACCATAATAAAATCTGGCAGCTTACCAAATTATATTAAAATGAATGCTGTTTTGTCTAAGTTATTAATTTTTTTTTAACTTTGATTTGTCGAAAAATTATTATTATATAAAAAAGAATCTCATAAATTTCAATTAAGAATATATTGTCCTATTTTATATTTTGGTTTTGCACTTTAAAAACGTTTTCTTCGGTGTTTATATAATAGTGATTATAATAGTTAATTATTTTATGTAAGGAGTTTGGAATAATTTATTAAACTGAACCCGGGAAAAGATTGTTTAAGTAATTATAGATATTCCAAGTATTTAATGCCATAAAAATTTAAAAATATATTCTAAAAATTGGATAGTTTTTGCAGCCTTTCTGTGTTACATTTTTTATGGGATATTGACCATGTTTGTCAGTATGACAGCTATATGATATAGTTATCAGATGTTTATAATATAATATAATAAAAATAACTATATCCCAGGTTATATGCAAATATGTTGAAATGTAATAATGCCAATTTCCATATTATTTTCCTATTAATTTTTTAGCTTTCCAATAACAGCGAAATAATATACTCATAACATTTTCATATAATTAATGAAGAATAATTAAAATTGGTCACTTCTTAATTAAGAAAGTAACATGGTGAATGTAAAATTATTAAATTAAATTCTCAATTGTTTCTTTGGTAGATATACATAGTTGACCGATTTGCAAATATAAAAAAGTAGATATAAAAAGATTCATTTAGAAATCATTCAATATCACAGGTAATATTTAAAGTTTATGCAATTACCATGCATTTTTAATAACAATCTGTTCATAAATATCGTTGCATACTTTTTTGGCTGCTTGCTCCTACCCCTAAGGTCCTTAGGGGTTGTGCTTGTTGGTATATCCTTTTTCCAGCTATTCGAATAGTTGATCGTTTGAGGATAATTGTATCGTGTTTGTTTTGAAAATCCGCTACGGTGGGGATCATGAAAATGGAGGAAAAGGGTGGGTTTTCAATGGGCAAGTGTGACAGAGCTCAACCCTTTTTTTCATCCTTTTCGGTAATTCATCTTTTTAATGGATCGTATCGTAATCTATAGTTTAGTACAGTTTCTGCAGTTTATTTGGAAATAGGATATATAGAGAATATATTTAATATTTTATTTTATAGGAGTTTGTTTCTCTCTTTTTCGGGATAGTAATTTAACTCTATAAATTACCAGTCTCCAAGCCCGAAGTACTCGTGCAACAAAGCAACTCCTGTTTCGTGTTCCACTGTACTTGAACCTACAGAAAATTGCGAATGAAATTCGAGGACTTCCTGTATGTGCGCCCTACAACAGAGCTGACAGGTCAATTAAGTGCACCAGAAGAAAGGACAATGGAAAGCAATGCACAAGGGGTGAGTTAGCAACAATGCAGAATTTGTAATAATGAAGAAACTAGGGGTCCTGGAACGAACAATACCCTGATATTACTGCATTTTATGGGCAAGTTCGGTAGACTTTTTCCCCACAAATCCTTATTTTTAATACCCTTACAGGGTATTCAACTTTAAGTCAGAACCTTGTAACTATGTGAAGGAGTCATTTCCGACCCTATAAATCATATATATTCTTGATCAGAATTAACAGGAGAATCGATCTAGCCATGTTTGGAAGAAAACAAATTTTTTAAATTTTTTTTTTAATTTTATAATGGGTTACATCGATAAAATTTTCAAAAATCGACAAAAATTTTAATTTTATTTAATTTAAATATGAGTATGTAGATTTGTTAACCTCATAAAAACTATCATGCAACTTTTTACCGAAGTAAAATTAATGGATTTTTGGCTTAGTTATGAGTATTTTAGGTTTTGATCTGACGACAAAATTGCTCTATAAAAATATATAAATTATGTTAAAACTTTGGTGATAGTTTTCTTTTTTGATTCTCATTAGTAAATAATTTGGAACCAACCAGGTCGAACCATTATATCATATGAGTGCCAATTAATTGATTAGAAAATAATAGGAAAAATAAATACACAAATAAATAAATATAAAAATAATTACATATTTTCTACTTCAAAACATTGTTTAATATTTTAAAATATAGATTTTAAATTGAGCGATTTTTAATGATTAAATTGAAACCAAACCAAGTTTAAGACACCAGTAACTGAGATAGATTCAAATTCAATGTTAATTAAGTTAATCTTTATATTTAAATATATCTATTATAATACAATTAATTATAAAATATGCATTTTGTTGCAATGCAACAACTCATGTTGTTTCATACCAGGCATTTGTTGGCCACGCCTATTAACAATAAAACCCCGGCTACGGAACGGCGTATAGGGAACGGACTTCATTACGTTTATTGTCGGGCAATAAATGTTAAGGCAACAACAACAACAACCCACTTTTGTTTATCACACAAGGCACGCAAACCACCACACCACCAGTGTCGGTGCAGAGAGACGTGGATAAACCAACGGTTTCGTCTATTCAAAAATGGTGTAGGGAGTTCGGACAATTGCCCAACAGGTACAACGACAATGGGTGAGAACGGGAGCGAGCTATATGTTGGCCTGGACTCTAGAGCGAGCACACAGTAATTTACGCTCATTAAGCATTTGTCATTTTTACGAAATGCAAATACACAAACGAGCGCTCGCTCACACATACATACATGCATACACAGCCAAATAACTCGCACGCTACTTCTCACTCGCCCCAATAACAAGAGTGGCTGGGCTCCAACAACAAGTTAAAGAAAATGAATTGAAGAGGCAGCAAAAAAAAAAAAAAAAAAAAAAAAAGAGCGCATGCTCCACTGCTTGTACAGTTGAGCGTTCGAGAGCGATTAAAGAAGGAAGATGAAAAAGAGCAGCAGAGAAGGCAGGCCAACTAATAAGAAAAAAGCTAAGCATAATCGAAAAAACCAATACCACGTTGAACCCACACACTCGCAGACTCAAAAGAAAAAAAGCAAAGCAAATCAGAGAGCGAAAGAGCACGCGGCCAAAGAACTTAGCGGGCATAAAAATAATATGGCGGCGAGGCAACAAAAAGAAAAAGCAAGTGAGACGAGACGAAGCGATATTCCACCCAACACAAATTAACAACAACCATACGAATTGGAATGATGTACATTTGCGGGAGCGGGGAGAGAGAACAAGAAGAGCCCAAAGCAACGCACCCAAACAAATACACACAAAGCACAAAATGAAAAATGAAATACCAAATGACTGGCACAGTGGGGCACAAATGATTTCCATTTCATTTAATTTTAATAACAGAAGAACAAAAAAAAAACAAGAAGCACATTTTACAAGTTATATCATAATACAATATTAAATAAATACTAACTATTTAGTTATTAATACTGGTTGATAGAATATCTATTTTTAACATAAGCACATTGCTTATTTTGACCCAAATGCAATAAATACACCACATATTTATTTTTTACTCCGCCACTCCAATAACGAATTCAACTTTTTTAATTATAAACTTAATAATGTATTTATAATAACAAAACTAATAACTGTCACTAATAAGTAAGTATATAAACAAAACAAAAAATATATTAATACATATATTTATTTATTTATAAATTTTTGTTATGTTTTAAAAATTATAGTAAGTTTTTCGCCACTGTGCACACGCTGCACACGCTATAAAAACACATCTAAAAGCAAAAACCAAACAACTGCAAATGAAAAAAAGACCGCCAACAAAAAATGCAATCCAATAATAATGGATCGAATACCACTGTTCAGTGTTCGACAGAGTGAGTGAGTGAAAAAAAGCATTTTGCTCTGCCTCTGCGCATACGCTACCCCTCCCTCTTTTCTCTTCTTCTTTCCTTCCACCGTCTGTTTCCGACAACCAAAACTAATAATAAAGTAAAGCTGATCCGATCTGAACAGTACAGCAGGAGGGTGGGAAAAGGAATGCGAATGAAAATGGAAATGGAAGGAGGAGGGCGACGTCCAGGTAGGTTGTTAACTGTGGTGGTGGAATGAAAAAAGAAGATGAAGTATAGCAACAATCGGGCGGTAGACATTCGAGTGTACAGACACAGAAAACTGGATTCGGTCGTGTGTTGAAGGGGAAGTAAGAGGGGGCCGATCAGTCGGGGTGGTTGAAACACAGGCACACACACACATGCCCGCCAGCTGTATCCTCGACTCTTGCTTTTTTTTCTTTTGCTTGCTACACTGCTGCCGTTCCTTTCCAACCCCAAGCGCGCAGAGGACATCCCGCTCGCACTTCTGCTCCGACGAGCGCTGCCCCTAGTACCGTCGCACTCGCACCCGCACATTTCAGTATAGAGAAAAGTTATCGCCTGCGCTCGAGTGCGAGAGAAACTGGTTGCTTTTTCCCATGCCCAGCTGTCCCGCAAAAGCAGCACCAACACCAACACCAACACATGCGCACTTCATTTTGTTTCGACGCTCGACGTAGAGTTGTCGCTGTGTCGCGCGGTTCAGTCAGAAATTGAACTTGGTTGTGTGCGGTTCTTGCGCTCTGAGTTCGCGCGCGTCTGTTTAAACGAACGGAAAAAAGTTTCGCGTCGACGCGAACCACACAACTTGAATACCCTTTTAACATAGTATTTTTTTTTAAAGTGCTCGACGGTGCTAAGAATTGGTGAATACAAAGCAAAAAGTGATGCCTTGCGAAACTACGAATATTTACTGGCGGCGCGTCGCTGCCGCTAAAAAGTATAAAGCGGCCGCAATAAAAACAAGCGTCTAGAGTTTTCGTCGGCGCGGTTTTTTTTAATGTAAGATCGCGTGCACAGGTGCTTTGGCCCCTGAGCCTTTTAATTACACTGCAAAAAAACGAACTGCAGCCTCAAAACAGAGAGTGGAGTGAGTGTGAGTGGAGTTTGCCATAATTACAATTGTCGCCCGTGCACGGAACACTCATTTACACACACACACACCGATAACGAGAGAGTTGAGACTGCGAGAGAGACTTTGTCGGATTCATTTCGTTTTTGTGTACATTTGTTGTCTTGCGTTTCACGTTATATGTTTGTTGTTGCCTGTATGTTTATATTTATTGCCTGTACATGTGTGTGTGTATGTGTTCGTTCGTCTTGTGTTTATTAATGTTCAACACCAACAAGAGAAAAACAAAATCAACTAGAGAGCCCAAAAAGAAAGCGCGACAACTATAAAAACAACAACAAGAAAGAGTATCTCCGCCGCCGCCGATACCCGAAAACGCCGCCGTCGCATGCATACCTTTAATTTATTACACATATTGTTTTTATTTTAAATAATGGATCGTCGTGCATTGAAGTTTATGCAAAAAAGGTATTTTTAGTTTGGTTTCGTTTTTAACAATTTACAATTTGTTTCTTATGCTTACTTGTTTGTGTGTGTGATTATTTTTACTGCTGCTGTTATGCCTGCACTTGCACTTACTTTTCACGGTTCTTTCTTTCTTTTTTTGTATTTGTTATTATTTTATTTCTTGTGGGTGCTAGTTTTTATTTAATGGATCGTGTCAGAAATATTCTTTTATGTTGTCATAAAATGCGCTCGATTGGTAGGAAGAAACAAAAAAAGAACAAATTCACAAAGTCCCAAAACGAGTTTCGTTTCCCCTGCCTACCGCTCTGCTGCTGCTCCCCCGTCGGCCACCCGCCTCCTGCTGTGCGGTGTGGTTCAGTGTTGTTGCATTTTGTTGACAACGAATTTCGCAATGCATGCCTGTGTTCGTGTGTGTTTGTGCGTCTGCTGTTGGTGGTTGGTTCCCCCCACCCCTTCCAACCTACCAACAACATTGAAAAAGCAAAAGTTCTTTGCCAAAAAGCAGTCGTTTTTGTTGTTGCCACAGCAAAAACAGTACTCGACAACCCTGATCGCTCTCTCGCTCTTATGCTCTCTCCTACACTCGGCATGTTGCTCTCGATATCTTTCTCTCCCAGTCGAAGTAAACAAAAACTTAGGGTTGCCAACTTAGCGAGTATTTCAAAACAATGTTAGGGATAATACAAATTTAATTTAAATTAAAGTTAATTTTCAAAAATAAAAAGTAAGCCAATTTAAAATAAACATTTTTCTTTCATGTTAATAAAAGTACAATTTCTTGTGGCCAAATATGAATGATTGAAAACAATATTTCAATAATATCAAATTAAAAATAATAAACAAAAAATTGCAAAAATTTCGTAAGGCCTCCTCAATATATTTTTAATAAAATATATATTGTATTGTAATTGTATCTTTTGTGTATATTGAATATAGTTGACAACTCTGGTGACCATACATCTGAACGCGAGAACGGTTCTCCTTTGAGGACTGCTCGCTTCCTATCTCATTCTAGCGCTTGTATCTCAACGTAGCTGATGGAGCACCTTGTATAGTTCCACCATGCGCCATGGTAACATCTCTTTCCCTCTCACGTTTGCCTTGGCGCTCATTTGTTTTCTCTTTTTCTGATTGCAAAACTCGTTTGTGTATCAATCAATATGCTGTCATACCACCCTCTCACTCACTCATTTGTATTTTGCACGCCTGATTCCACTGTAGCTGATTTTTGATTTGAATTTGGGCTCTCTCTCGCTCTCCCTTGCGTCTCTCCCTTTTGTGGGGCGCATGCTCCCAACCGTTGTGTATGTGTGTGCGTGCGTGCGTGTTTATTTCCCCCGCATTTTTATCATTCCTCCTGCTACTGCTTTTCCCCCCTTCGTTGCGGCAGCACACACTAACGGGAGAAACCAGTCTTCTTCATGGTTTTTCTTTGAGCCGCAAGTTGGCTTTCCTCAAGAGGTTTAACCATAGCATACAAACATATTATACATATTTACACATATCGTTTCTCACTGCGGGTGACTGTGATCTCGACTCACACTTTAATGGAATACACACAGACACCAGGCACCCTGTGATGAGAAATCCACCCCTCTAGACCGCCCACCACCAACACCCCTTTCGGCTGAGGGTAGTAGACCAGCTCATGAGGGTTACCTTACCCTTGCCACCGATGCTTCTGCTTTTTGCCGGCTTTTATAACACATTTCTCGCTTGTTCTTATGTTTTTTATTTTTCTTTTTTATTATGTTTTCCTCTCCCCCCCTTTATATTCTTATTTTATATGGGCCTCGTGGGTTTTTGATGGGGCAAGGGGAAGAAGGACAGGGATCTTTATACTGGCTGCTGGGGCACACAGTTTAGGTCAACGAAATAACACAATAAACTGGAAAATGCCACCCTTCGGCATTTATCACAATGCGATTTAGTGAAATATTAGTGAGTGTTTTACACTGAAAAAGTTTAGATAGTTATGGACAACAATAAAAAAACAACCCTAACCCTAAAAGTAGCTAGTTTTAGCCGGTTTCGCGAGTCATTTATTTATTATATTAAAAAAAAGGATAATTTAATACGTACTACACTTGTAAGATTTTCCCTTAAATATTTGCTCTGGTGGTAATTTATACAATATATTTATATTATATTACCATCGGGAAGCTCTAATATGTTGAGCACAGCTGTATATGATGGAAATAGTAGCAATTCGGTGTTGTGTTCCCAACTGTCAGCATTTTGTCTGGGAGGTCCTTGAACTTCGCCTGCCTGCAATTCGCATTCGACTTTATTGCCATTTTGCCATAATATCAGACGGTGCCAGCTGCCAGGCTGGACACCTTTTCCCGGGCAAAATGCGCTCGGAAAAACGGCTGCGATACTTCACATGGAAATTTCGGAAAACCGAAGATAAAGATCGATGGCAGGCAACCCTCAGATTCGGTTGCCGCCTCCTCTTTTCTCTCTTCCTATTTATTTCAATGAATGCGAAGGTCCCTTTTGCATTTTCGCCAACATTTTCATTAATGCTATTATTATTGTTGTTTTTGTGCGACAGAAGGAAGGGAAGAGAGAAAAGGTGAACGAAATGAAGGTACAATAATGTTTGGGTTCTACCTAAAACTAGGGGACAATCTTTCCAACTGAATCTTTGATGGTCTTTTTTCTTTTGGTTGTCGCTTATAAATTTAAAGCAGACTCTTTGTAGTTTTGGTTATAAATATTCAACGTTTTTAAATAAGAATTAATATTATTAAAATTTGCATGTTAATATTAACATGTTAATATATTATTAATATTAGTTATTTATTATTTTACCCTTGCATATTATTAAAATTTAAGTAGGAGCTTATAAACCAGTGAAGGAGTCATTTCCGACCTCACAGATCATATATATTCTTTATCAGCATCAACAGCCGAGTTGATCTAGCCATGTTTGGTCGAATAAAATTTTTTTAAAAAAATTTTTCCAAATTTTATAAATTTTATATCGTTAAAATTTACAAAAATTGTCAAAAATTTTAATTTTTGAATTAAGTAAGCAGATTTATTAACCTTATAAAAACTAGCATGGGAACGCTTTCCGATTAAAAATTAATGCTTTTTTGGATAAGTTATGCGATTTTAAAACTTTGATTTGTTGAACAAAAATGCATTTAAAAATATAGATAAATATCAATTCAAAGACTGTAGTTATTATTAATTTGTGATCCGATCCGATAAAATGCAAACTGCAAGGTTATCTAAACTTTGGCTTCCCGAAGTTAGTTTCCTTTCTTGTTTTTAGTTATATTTATTATTAGCATGAAGAGAATTTACCTGATCCCTCATTTTATAATATATTTTTGGCCAAGGCTTAAGCTCTTTCAAAGTTTTCTTTTTTCCGGGGAATGTGCTGGGAAGCTGGCAACCTGTTTGCACATGATTTTGTCACTGTTTGTAGTTGGGACAAGACATGAGAAGCCCATTAGGGACATGGGAAGCCGCCGGGTCGTGCGTGTGGTCTGCTCTGGTCTGGTCTGGTCCCAGATGATTCTGCGTTTGCTTCGAACAAATGTTTACTGATCCCCCCACCTTGGTATCCTCTTCTCTTCCCTTCCGATCACACAGAGCGGACACAGAAAGCGACAACACTAACACCAACACATCACTGAGCACAACTGCTTCCCAGGGGACACCAGCTTCAGGCATATCTGCAGGAACGGGCGGTGGCACTCTACCCCTGAAGGACAACTCCAATATACGCGAGAAACCGCTGCAGCACGCACATCCGCATCCACACCAGCAGCAGCAGCATCAGCATCAGCAACAGCAGCAGCAGCCCGGTGGCAAGCAGCTAGAGAGGCCACTGAAGTGCCTGGAGACGCTCGCTCAAAAAGCGGGCATAACTTTTGACGAGAAATACGATGTGGCCAGTCCCCCGCATCCCGGCATTGCCCAGCAGCAGGCGACTCCAGCATCAGCACACAGAACACCAACACCAACACCAGCAGCAACAGGAACAGTCACCCCCACGAATCATCGACACGGAACTGCGCCTACTGCCCGCCGGCACACGAACACCCCGAACACCACCCCAGGCCCAACCAGTGCAGTTGGCACACCCAATTCGCACAACACGCACACCCTTGTCCGCCACACCAGCCTCAAACTGGATAAGGCGCAGAATCCCGGCCAGCAGGTGGCGGCCGCCACCACAGTGCCGCTGCAGATCTCTCCGGAGCAGCTGCAGCAGCTTTACGCGAGCAGTCCATATGCCATCCAGGTGAAGCAAGAGTTCCCCACGCATACAACGGGAGCGGGCACGGAGCTGAAGCATGCGACCAATATCCTGGATGTGCAACAGCAGATGCAGCTGCAGCAGCAGCTCTCCGATGCCAACGGAGCCGGAGGAGCTGCTGGAGCCACAGGAGTGGCGGGAGGCGCACCAAGTCCTGCCAATGCCCAACAGACGCAGCAGCAGCACTCGACGGCCATCAGCACCATGTCCCCGATGCAGCTTGCGGCGGCTACCGGAGGAGTGGGCGGTGATTGGGGGCAAGGCAGGACGGTGCAACTGATGCAGCCCTCGACCAGCTTCCTGTATCCGCAGATGATCGTGTCCGGTAATCTGCTGCATCCTGGCGGCCTTGGCCAGCAGCCCATCCAGGTGATTACCGCCGGCAAGCCCTTCCAGGGCAATGCGCCTCAGATGATCACCACCACGACGCAAAACGCCAAGCAGATGATCGGGGGACAGACGCAGTTCGCTGGAGGCACCTATGCCTCGTGCCTGCCCTCCAACCACAACCAGTCGCCACAGACGCTGCTCATCTCGCCGGTGAATGTGATCTCGCACTCGCCACAGCAGCAGCAGAACCTGCTTCAGTCGATGGCGGCTGCAGCCCAGCAACAGCAGCAGCAGCAGCAACAGCTGACACAACAGCAGCAACAACAGCAGCAGCAGATTACTCAGCAGCAGCAACAGCAGCAGCAGCTCACGGCGGCCCTCGCGAAGGTGGGCGTGGATGCGCAGGGCAAGTTGGCCCAGAAGGTGGTCCAGAAGGTGACCACCACCAGTAGCACGGTGCAGGCAGCGACGGCAGGCGGAGCAGCAGCCACGGCAGCCCAGGCCCAGCAGGTGCAACAGGTCCAGCAACAGCAGCAGCAGCAGACTACGCAGACCACCCAGCAATGCGTTCAAGTCTCGCAGTCGACGTTGCCCGTGGGCGTGGGAGTAACCCAGGCTGGCCAGTCTGTTCAGTCAGTTCAGGCCGCCCAGCTGTTGAACGCCGGACAGGCGCAGCAGATGCAGATCCCCTGGTTTTGGCAAAATGCGGCTGGACTGCAGTCCTTCGGCTCGAACCAGATCATCCTGAGGGGCCAGCCAGACGGAACCTCGGGCATGTTTATCCAGCAACCGGCCACGCAGACCCTGCAGACGCAGCAGAACCGTAAGTCACCCTATACTACTATTCATTTCCATCTGGTCCTAATTATGCGTGCTTTCCTTTGTTTCCTCAGAGATTATCCAGTGCAATGTGACCCAGACGCCCCCTAAGGCTCGCACCCAACTGGACGCACTTGCCCCGAAGCAGCAGCAACAGCAGCAGCAGGCGGGAACTGCCAACCAGACACAGCAGCAGCAGCAGCAGCAGCAGCAGCAGTTGGCGGTAGCCACGGCTCAGTTGCAACAGCAGCAGCAACAACTCACGGCAGCGGCTCTGCAACGCCCTGGAGCCCCGATCCTACCCCACAATGGCACCCAGGTGCGTCCGGCCAGCTCGGTGTCCACGCAGACTGCCCAGAACCAGAGCTTGCTGAAGGGCAAGATGCGCACCAAGCAGCAGCCGGTGCGACCTGCCTTGTCTGCCCTGAAGACGGAGAACGGCCAGTTGGCGGGTCAGAACAAGGTGGTGGGTCACATGGCCACCGTGCAGCAGCAACAGCAGGCGACAGCGAATCTCCAGCAAGTGGTAAACTCGGCGGGCAACAAGTGAGTAATCTGAGACACCTTGGGCCAGATCATGGAGCTAACTGATTACCTATGCATCATTACAGAATGGTTGTGATGAGCACGACGGGCACTCCCATTACCCTCCAGAACGGACAGACTCTTCACGCACCCACAGCGGGAGTGGACAAACAGCAGCAACAACAGCAGCAGCAATTGCAGCTGATTCAGAAGCAGCAGTTTCTGCAACAGCAAATGTTCCAGCAGCAGATCGCTGCCCTCCAGATGCAGCAGCAGGCGGCAGCTCAGGCCCAACAGCAGCAGCAGCAACAACAAGTCACCCAACAGCAGCAGCAGCAAGTGACCGCCCAGCAACAGCAGGCGGTGGCGCAGGCTCAGCAGCAACAGAGGGAACAGCAGCAGCAGCAGCAGCAAGTGGCCCAATCCCAGGCGCAGGCGCAACAGCAGCAGGCGCTTGCCAACGCCACTCAGCAAATCCTACAGGTGGCCCCAAACACCTTCATCACCTCGCACCAGCAACAGCAGCAGCAACTGCATAACCAACTGATCCAGCAGCAACTGCAGCAACAGGTGCAGGCGCATGTCCAGGCGCAGGCCCAGGCCCAGGCGCAGCAGCAACAGCAGCAGCAACAACAGCAGCAACAACAACAGCAGCAGCAGCAGCAGCGGGAGCAACAACAGAACATCATCCAGCAGATTGTTGTGTCAGGCGGAACGACTCCTCAGCAGCAACAGCAGAACACGGGGCAGCTCCAACTGAGCAGCGTGCCCTTCACGGTGTCTTCGACCACGACGCCAGCCGGAATAGCCACCTCCAGTGCCCTGCAGGCGGCTCTCTCCGCCTCCGGCGCCATATTCCAGACTGCCAAGCCTGGCACTTGCAGCTCATCACTGCCCACTAGCAGTGTGGTGACCATAACCAACCAGAGCTCGGCTCCTCTGGTCACCAGCAGTACGGTGGCTAGTCTCCAGCAGGCACAAGCTCAAGCCCAGCTCCAACAGCAGCAGCAGCAGTTGATCACCACCGCCATGGCAGTAGCCTCTCAGCAGCAGCAGCAACAACAACAACAGCAGGGACCACCCTCCCTGACAGCCACGACGCCCTCGCCCACCACGAATCCCATCCTGGCCATGACCTCCATGATGAATGCCACAGTGGGGCACCTGTCAAGCGCTCCACCCGTCACAGTCTCTGTAACCAGCACCGCAGTCACTCCATCGCCGGGCCAATTGGTGACCCTCAGTAGTGCCAGCACGCCCACCAAGGAGACGCCTTCGAAGACGGCCACCCTTGTGCCCATTGGCTCGCCCGTGACGCCCGCAGCGCTCCCAACTCAGGACAGAAGCGCGACGCCGAAATCCTCAACACCAGCCAATGTGAGTGCATCCGCGGAGGCCAGCAGTTCCACCGGCGAGGCCCTGCCCAACGGAGAAGCTACTGAGGCGGCGTCTACGCCGGTGAGGGCTGCCACCACACCCACCAGCAAGCAAAGCAACACGGTGCAGCCCACGGGCAGCAGCGGCACCACACCCAGCACCACAACCACACCCAGTGGTAAGGAAGAGACCAAGGTGGCAAGCTCCATCAACTCTAGCGCCGCCACAACGCCTACCACGACGAAGACGGTCAGCAATGGGATCGGAACGGGGAGGAGCACAGCGTGCACCACGGGTAGCACTACTGTGACCACCACCACCTGCAGCACTACCACCACAACCTGCAGCAGTGCGACCAGTACAACCACCACGACGACGAGCAGCAGCAATGGTGCGAAGGATCTGCCCAAGGCGATGATTAAGCCAAACGTTCTGACCCACGTCATCGATGGCTTCATCATCCAGGAGGCGAACGAACCTTTTCCGGTCACGAGGCAGCGCTATGCGGACAAGGACGTCGCCGATGAGCCGCCCAGTGAGTACCTCAATCACACACTATGGTTTGCAACTGTGTTAATCTCCATTTTTCCCACCTCCATCCTGCAGAGAAAAAGGCGGCCATGCAGGAGGACATGAAGCCCAGTGGAATAGCGTCCGCTCCAGCCTCCGACATGGTGGCCTGCGAGCAGTGCGGCAAACTGGAGCACAAGACGAAGCTCAAGCGGAAGCGATTCTGCTCACCGGGATGCGCAAGGCAGGCGAAGAATGGCATTGGAGTGGCAGGAGTGGAGACCGGGAAGACCAACGGCCTGGGAACCGGCGGAATTGTTGGGGTGGACGCCATGGCATTGGTGGACAAGCTGGACGAGGCCATGGCTGAGGAGAAGATGCAGACAGATGCCCTGCAGGCTCTGTCCGAGCCCCTGCCCATTCTGGCTGCTCCAACGGAAGTTCTACCACCAGTGTCCCTGCCTGTGCTGGCAACCGGCATTCCGACCCCTGTTCCACTTGCACTTCCACTGCCGCTGCCGCTGGGACTACCATTGCCTGTAGCTATATCTGCTCCAGCTCCACTGCCAGCAGTTATTCCTGCCGCGGCACTCGCAAGCTCCAGCGTAAACGGATCGGATCGTTCGCCCATTAGTAGCTGGAGCGTGGAGGAGGTCAGCAACTTCATACGGGAACTACCGGGCTGTCAGGACTACGTGGATGACTTCTTTCAGCAGGAAATTGACGGCCAAGCGCTGCTGCTGCTCAAGGAGAACCATCTGGTGAATGCCATGGGCATGAAGCTTGGACCAGCACTCAAGATCGTGGCCAAAGTGGACTCCATGAAGGAGGTGCCAGTCCCTGCCGATGGCAAGGATGCCGGAGGAGGGTCGCAGTAATGTGGCACATCGAGAGTGCACCTGGTACCTACCAGGTGAATCTGATTCACTTGGCAAATCTGAAGAATTATATATATTGTAGATTACAGCGCTAAGTCTAAAAAATTGTACATATTCACACATTTACACCTAGGCATAAATTTATGTAGGAATTTTATAAAACACTCGACAGTCAAAGGCGTAATTAAAACAATTATGCGACATTTAAGCTACTAAAAAAACAAAATGTAATTGTAACTATGCCAGCATTATTTAATAATAGATAGTAAGTAGAATTCGTACAGCCCTGCCCTTATTGTCATTGGTAGAGCGTAAAAGTATTTTAATTTAAGAAGCCATAGCATTGCATATGTAAAATTGTACCAACTAAGAAATTTTAAAAATTGTAGGTAATCATTATAATTGTACATCTAAATGTGCATTCGAATTTTATGCTAAACGTTTTTTAATGCTTACATTAAGTGATTTTTTTAACCATTCTCATCTTTTTTTTTTGCAATTGCTGACCAAAAAAGGATTTTCACTATCAATAAATGTGAATATTTACAACAAAACTTGTGTATCTTTTCCTGGAAGTTTGGTAATATAGTTCAAATATTAGCTACCTTATCTAATATAGATTTGGAAGTTAAAATATGATCAATTAACAGGATTTTTCCCTTATTTTTTATTTTTATTGATATTCATAACTCCGCCAAAAAAGCATTAATTTTAATTCGGAAAGCTTTCCTATGTTTCTTTTTAATAGTTTAATAAATCTGCATACTAATTTTAATATTTAAAAGAATTAAAATTTTTTATCAATTTTTAAAAATTTTAACGATGTAACCCCTTACCTTTTTTTGGAAAAAAAATGGAAAATTTTCGAAATTTGTTTTTGTATGCCGGATATAGCTAGAAAGATTGGTCTGTTGATTCTGATCAAGAATATATATGATATATGGCGTCGGAAATGACTCCTTCACTAATTAAAATTATAATTTCCTTTGCAGGATTCTTGAAATCGATATATTTGTCGATTTTTGAAATATCTACAAATCAGGGACCTGCAAGAAGCTGACAGTTTTACCAACAGCTTTTAATTTATTATTTTTTATTTATTATTATTTATGATGCCTTGCCTAACCTTTTTTTTATTTTTTGGGCGTTGGAATAAAATTTAGTTGAGATGAAAATTAATCTTTTCGAACTGGCCCTGTTAATTAATGGGATTTTTGAACCCACTGGCTGTTGGAGAATATTTTTGAGCAAGGGGCCCAGGGGTTCCTCATCACCTTTCCTTCAGAAGAATTTCTTACTGTTTAATTTATTATTTCCATTTTTTAAATAATTTAGAGTAGCATTTGGTGCACACGGATTCCTGGCAACCTTTCCTCTCGTAGATTTCTGAGAGGCTTCTATCGATTTATATTATTTTAATTTTATTTGTAGACAAACAGTATTAATAAAATATTGAATATTAAAATATCGTTCTGTAAGCAAATAGAATGTTTTAAATATAATTATTAAATCATTTCTTACATTATTTCACTGTAAACTGTTATACTGCAAATTCACCACACGTCATATTTACGAAAGACCACGCCCATGATGAACACGTAAGGAAAACGTTGGAAAGAGAACGATACAGAGTGCTGTAGTGGTGTCCCTGTCTCTCCCGCAAAGCGAATGTCACACCCACCCCCTCTCACTAAGGGGAGGAAATTCACGTCGAGAGTGTCCATTTTTTTTCTACTTTCACTGTCGACATTTTTTACTGGCCAACGATGCAGTCCGCTGCTCGTAATTAAACTGTGAGCGGGAGCAGGACAGGGAGCGGTAAAGAAAGAGGTGGCTTCAGAGCCAAGTCAGTGGGCTTATCATCTTGTTGCAGAAGTTAAAAGTTAAAATGAAGCCCCTTAATTAATTTCCCTTTTGTTCCGGTCGACACAGACAAATAGATGGACACGGACATTTTAGCCAGAAGTTGTGATATTAAATTTATTATTTATTTTGTGATTGTTCCTATGACAGCTATATGATATAATAGACTATAAACTTACGTAGAAAGGAACATACGAACATGACTAGATTGGCTTGGCTGATACTGATTGTGGATACAAATACTTTATATGTGTTTCCATAAATATCTTTAATATTTTTAAGAGCCAAATCGAGTGAGCCAAGTCCTTCTACAATCTCCAGCGGTATTAAATCGTCTCATTTTTGCAAGTTTTCAAAAATATTGATATTTATACCCTTTCAGGGTATTTTAATTTAAGTCACAAGCTTGAAACTATGTGAAGGAGTCATTTCCGACCCCATAAATTAAATATTCTTGATCAAAATTAACAGGCGAATCGTTCTAGCCATGTCGGAAAGACAACAAATTTTTTTAAATTTTTTCAAATATATATAAGGGGTTACATCTTTAAAATTTTCAAAAATCGACCAAAAATTGTTATATTTTTAACATTTTTAATTGAGTATGCAGATTTATTAGCCTTAAAAAAACGAACATAGAAATGCTTTCAAAATTGAAATTAATGCATTTTTGATTTAGTTATGCATTTTTAAAATTATGTTGTGTAACAAAAAAATATCATGTAAAAATACCGATTTTAAGAATCTTGCAGAGGAAAATATAATTTTTTATAGTGAAGGAGCTATTTCCGACCCTATAAACCATATATATTCTTGATCAGAATAAACAGGCGAATCTTTCTAGCCATGATTTTAAGAAAATTAGTTTTTTGCAATTTTTTCAAAATTTTATAAGGGGTTACATCGTTAAAACTAAAAAAAAAAAATTAAAAAAATCAAATTTTCTGTAATGTTTAATTGAGCATGCAGATTTATTAACCTTATGAAAACTAACATTAAACCGCTTTCCGACTTAAAATTAATGCATTTTTAGCTAAGTTATGAGTTTTTTACATTTTCAGATATCGAGAAAATTGTCATATGAAAATATAGATAAATATTGATTCAAGAATCCGAATATTTTTTAATTTTAAATTCAAATGTTGATTTGTTCACCTAATTAAACCCGGGTTGAGTTATCGAATTAAAATTAGCGAATTTTTGGCTTAGTTTTGAACGATTTCAAATTCAAATTTCCTGATTTCGATCTCCAAAGATATATGATATCGGGTTCACGAAGTTAGATTCCTTTCTTGTAATATCTGATTTTTAGGAGTAGGAAACTACTCCAAAATGATCGAGCACCAAAAGAAAACTCCCTGCCCATATCACATTTTTCACATTTGCTACTTCCTTGTAACCTTTAACCTATTACCAACCCATTCCCCTGTAGCACCCCTAATAATTATGAGCTTAGGGGAGGAATTTGCTTTCCTTCCCTTCCAAAATCGTCCCTTTTGAGGGTAATTGTAGTATGTTTGCTTGGAAAATGTAGTTACTGGGGCGCCTAAAATGGTGGATAAGGGTGCAACGGAGGTCGCTGAGGGCCGCCGGAAGGGCAAGTGTCAAAGGTCAACCCTTTTCCGCTTTCCTGTTTGATTTGCCTCACCCTTTTGGGTGAAGTACAGTTCGTTCAGCTTAGCGGGGTTGGTTTCCCCTTGACTGGGAAAAAATGCTAAAATATGACAAAACTACAGAAGAACAATAAAGGGAAGCCGAAGCTTATATACCCTTTCAGTTTGCGATTAAATTATAGGATCGGATCGGTAATCGATCACAACGAATATTAAAATATTCGCATTTTTCGAATCGATATTTATGAATCATTTTATATGACATCAAAGTTTAAAAAACTCATAACTACGCCAAAATATCGTTAATTTTAATTCGAAAAGCGGTTATATAATAGGTTTTATTTGGTTTATAGATCTACATACTCAATTTAAAATTTAAAAATTTTGGTCGGTTTTTGAAAATTTTAACGATTTAACCCCTTATAAAAATTTGAAAAATTGGAAAAATGTATTTTTGTGCCGGAGATGGCTAAATCGACTAGGCTGTTGATGCTGATCCGGCCGGAAACGAGTCCTTCACAGCGTTCCATGGCTCAGGCTGAAATTATAATACCCTGTAAGGGTATTTTCATGGCATACTTTCTGGTGGCAAGCCAGCAATGAAGGATTAGCAGGAAACCAGGATTCCTGTGTAGGCTTTCAAAGGATTCTAGATCTATTGATATTTATCTAGTTGAAAAAAAGGGCATCAAGGAGAAGGTAATGTACTAGAAAATGCACATCAATTAATCAAAAAACTAAAAAAAAAAAACTGATTTCTGCAAAAAATATTACCAATTCTGGTATTACGAATAATAAATAGCAGTGAATATGGAAAAACTATATATAAAATCGGATGGGTTATGTTTTGATGAAAAAGCCTGCTAAGAAAAGCAGTCCTTTTGGTATGTGATTTGTTTAGAACTAGAAAAAAACTAAGTCTACAAATCGTAGAGGACAGAAACCAGGATCTAAGGATTATAAAAGTAAAACACAAACATTTGCAAAGGCATTCGTTTCGTCCTTGCCCACATATTCTATATGGCTTATGACTTTTAGGCGTAGTTTGCTTGAGGTTTTTCTTGCAGGACCTCTAGTTCGAAATTCGTTGGCCGATTCTGATTTCGGATATTGTCTGATTTAAGATAATTGCGTTCAAATAAATATTTTTTAAAGCATTTTTGCAGTTTTTTGTCTTAAGCGAGTATATTTAAATTAGTAAGTTAGTAAAATGCGTGATAGAATAAATAAGTCAATGTATAATAGGTACTCCGTGTTGTAAGAGGAAGTTACGACATGCTCCTTCCAATATTCCTTCCATGCATGTACGCATGGAAACCCTATCGCAGTCGTCGTTGTGGTTAAGGGAAATGGTGATGCTGGCTATGAGATCCATTTCCACCGTTAATAAGGCGTGGCCTTACGAAAATAACGTCAGTGACTCTGCCTGCGGCGCTCTCATTACGGTGGCAACAACTTGCGACAGCAGAGAAGGGCAACCCACTTTTGATTATCAGTCTTCACTCAACAGACCCACACACACACACACATTTCCACACATAACCGGAACCAGTGACTGTGCTACTGTGTGGCTGTATAACTCCTCTTGATAACTCCGTTAGGTTTTGTCTCTCTTTTTTTTTAAATGGTGTTGGAAGTTCTAGCAATTGCCCAACAGCAACAACACAACAGGTAAACATGTTTGTATTTTCGGTTGTGTATGTGTGTGCGCTATTATAACAAGAACGAACTGCCCGTAAATGTAGTGTAATGCGCTAGAGCGAGAGGCAATGTGTGAATAAAGCACGCGCACAGCAATTTACGCTCATTAAGCATTTGTCATATTTACGAAATGCAAATATACATACAAACACACACATACATATGACGGCTCGCCTTCGCCCGCCCCAATAACAGCGTTCGAGCCCCAACAACAAGTTGGAGGCAATTAACTGAAGCGGCGCCAAAAAGAAGAGCGCATGCTCGACTTATTGTACAGTTGAGCGTGCCCCAGCGAATAAAAAAGGAAGAGCGATGCAAAGAGGCCAAGAAGGCATGCAACTAATAAGAAAAAAGCCAAATACAAAAAAAAAACCCAACAAAGCCAGAGCGAAAAGCAACAATACTACACTGAATCGACATACACACACACCCAGTGTAAAAACAAAACAAAGCAAAGCAAAGCAGAGTGAGAGAGCGACGGCAAAAGCACTTAACGAGCATAAAAATAATATGGCGTCGGGGGAAGCGAACAAAAAACAAAAAAAAAAAAAAAAGAAATACGACGAAGCGAAATGAAACCCACGGTTCCATCAGTCCGAAGCCAATCGACAACAACAATTGCAATGATGAACGCATATGGAGCGCTACAACGTTGTTGCTGGATGGGGCGGCGGGAAAGAAGACCGACAAGAGCCCAAAGCAAGGCACCCATACTAACGCAAACACATACACACAAAGGGCACTCGGCAGAGGCAGTCCCAAAATGAAAAATGAAATGCCAAAGAAAGGCACAGTGGGACGAACAGCATTTGATCGCGATAAAGAGTGTAGTTATATGACAGGTAAACAAAATATATATAATGTGACTAATTAAATGTATTTATTCAAAATAAAATAACGCTAATCACATTACAAAGTACTGTTTTTAAACAAAATATGTTCCATACGAACATTAATCAAAGGCATATATTTTTTATATACATCAAGATAGATATAAATATATATATGTATATATATTTTCGAGACACTTAACATTGCATATATAATATTTAAAAAGCTAAATTTTTCAGCATTATAAATAATAATAGTTGCACCACTGTGCCCCCTCAAAAAAAACTGCATCAACGACGCCAAAAGCAAAAATGCAATCCAATAATAATGGATCGAACACCACTGTTCAGTATTCAGCAGAGTGGTGAGTGAGTGAAAAAAAGCATTTTGCTCTGCCTCTGCGCATACGCTACCCCTCCCTCTTTTCTCTTCTTCTTTCCTTCCACCGTCTGTTTCCGACAACCAAAACTAATAATAAAGTAAAGCTGATCCGATCTGAACAGTACAGCAGGAGGGTGGGAAAAGGAATGCGAATGAAAATGGAAATGGAAGGAGGAGGGCGACGTCCAGGTAGGTTGTTAACTGTGGTGGTGGAATGAAAAAAGAAGATGAAGTATAGCAACAATCGGGCGGTAGACATTCGAGTGTACAGACACAGAAAACTGGATTCGGTCGTGTGTTGAAGGGGAAGTAAGAGGGGGCCGATCAGTCGGGGTGGTTGAAACACAGGCACACACACACATGCCCGCCAGCTGTAGCCTCGACTCTTGCTTTTTTTTCTTTTGCTTGCTACACTGCTGCCGTTCCTTTCCAACCCCAAGCGCGCAGAGGACATCCCGCTCGCACTTCTGCTCCGATGAGCGCTGCCCCTAGTACCGTCGCACTCGCACCCGCACATTTCAGTATAGAGAAAAGTTATCGCCTGCGCTCGAGTGCGAGAGAAACTGGTTGCTTTTTCCCATGCCCAGCTGCCCCGCAAAAGCAGCACCAACACCAACACATGCGCACTTCATTTTGTTTCGACGCTCGACGTAGAGTTGTCGCTGTGTCGCGCGGTTCAGTCAGAAATTGAACTTGGTTGTGTGCGGTTCTTGCGCTCTGAGTTCGCGTGCATGTGTGTGAACGAACGGAAAAAAGTCTCGCGTTGACGCGACGCACACACACCCTCGCCCTGGCGGCCAGTTAACATTGTATTTATTAACTTTTTTTTATGCGATAACTGCATATCGCTCCGGTGATAACCAGTGTTTAGTGAATGCGATTCCGCAATACTCAATGAAAATGAGAAGAACAGCAAAAGAAACCAAAATCTTGGCGACGCTGCCGACGTAAGCAGCTCGCAGGAAAGTGTATCGAGTGAAGTGTGCGGCCTGGAATAAAAACAAAGCGGAGAAGAAAGAAGAAACAAGAGGAAAAGAAAACAAATTAATGCTGTGCGGCGTCTAGAGTTGTCGTTGTCGCTGCGTTTGGACGTTGTTTTATGTAAGATCGCGTGCACAGGTGCCTCATGGCCTCACTTATTAAATGCACACATTAGTTAGAAGAAAAGAAATGGGGGGAAAACTGAATGGAGGAGAAAACATATTTTCGAGACGCCGCAACTGCTGCCGCCGCCGCTGTGACATCGGCGCATGCTCGCTGCCGCCTGTTTTTTTGCCTCGCATTGTTGTCATTCCCCTCGACCTCTCTGCCTTTTCCTCATTCGTCTCTCCCTCTGACTCTTCCGCTTATTCGGTCTCCGCTTCCCATGCTTCTTGCAACTCAATTTTGGTTGAAGGGAAAATCAAATTGATGATGGCTTTGGCATTGTTGTAAGCAGTCTGCCGCCACACAAAAACGCACACCACCAAACGGACCAACACACAGAAACATTACTCGCATAAATGGAATGTTAAAAGAGGGAAACAAGAAGACACTAAAATAAAAATCACTCGCACAGTGGAAAGAAACCAGTCTTTATGTTGCAAGCTAAAGATGCTGCATGTTGCTCGATTCCGATTTCCCCTCTCCCCCATTCCCGTTCCGGATCCGCATCCGATTTCGAGTAGAACACAATCCTACCCACTGGCAGCAGCCACCCCCGGGGTCTGGCAATCAACCCCGTTGTTAAGCCGCCCCCGCCGACTGCCACCCCTGATAGAGTTTGTCCAACCGAAGGGAAAAAATAGTAACCCAAACCTTGCCAGGATTAGTGGAGAGGGGGAGAGCGTAACCAAAACCGTAACCATTTGTTACTCTCGGACATTTAGTAGCAACTGGCAGGATTTCTCGTCTCGGACGTAGGTCTTTGAACCTTTCTCCATGGAGACCCAGACCATTCTCCACTTCCACTCTCCATTTCCACGGTCCTTATCACAGTTACTCGCAACTTTTGGTTTTTTTTTTTTTTTGGCCAGCGGCAAGAGAATCCATAAATAAAGGTAGTCTCGCTTACTCCCACTCCAAGTGCGACTCCGGCTGCTTCTGCATCTCCCCCCTCCAGTTCAAAGGACAAGGACGGGCGGATGGGCAGAGAGCAGGATAGATAGCAATGCTGTGAGCGGCTGCAACAACTAAAAATAGAAGTTGGGGAAGACAGGCAACAACTCTGACAAGTGACCCCATTTAAATACAACAAAATATATATACATGTATATAAATGAAACAATTGCATTGCACACATGCAAAACAGTGCAATCTTACTAGGTCACAGCCCATTCTTAACTTGGGATACATATGTACATACATATATATGTGTGTGGTCGTTCGAAAGGAACTGTTATTTACAGCATAACTTAGAACAGAAGAACAGTTAGAACTATATAAAAGCTCATATCAAACAATATCCACCGTTAAAGTTTTAAACTGTGTGTGAATGATTCCCGAAATGGAGTGCTTTTCGTTCCATCTCACTTTTTCGTCTCGACTTTGTTTTCGTTTTCGGTTTCTTTGCCGCCTTTGGGCAGCGACTGCAATATACGATCCCGTCTTTGTCTTTCTCAATGATTGCTCCTCTCTTTTCCACCTTCGTATTTCGTTCGCCTTCAGGAGTGTGTAGAGTGCATTGCTAATCTCTTTGGTGCTCTTACACTCTCTCTCCATTCGAATCGCACGCTCCTGCTGCTTTGATCTCAGCTGGGAGAGCTGCCAACCTGTTTGCATGGCTTTCTCGTATTTTTAGTTGCAGCTGCAGTTAAGAAAAAAATAAAAAAGAACATGAAGCATGGCCCACGCAATCAAAAGAGTCCCAAGTCTGTCTGCCCTTGGTGTTTGTGCCTTGCCACAATGTTTACTGATCGTTTACCGCCTCTTCTTCTATCTCTATTCCTTCAGAGCGGGCACGGAAAGAGAAACATTGCCCAACAGCATCACAACACCTAGATCATCATCCACATCATCAACGGCATTCACATCCGCATCTCCGGGAGGCACTAACCCATTAGTAAAGGACACCTCGAACTTGGGGGAGGACAGCCAGAGATCTCTAAAGTGCTTGGAGACGCTTGCTCAGAAAACAGGCATATGCTTCGACGAGGATTTCGCTAGTTCGTCGCCTACCCAATCGCCCAGCAGCCAAACACGAGGAACAGCCGGCACACCGCCCATTAAACAGCGCCGCCATCCGCTCCTGCCGATCAAAGCCAATTCACCAAGGACTCCCATCTCGTCGAGACGCGGCCGCACGCTGGAGAAGTCACAGAGCCCTGCCCAACAGGTGGCAGCCGCCGCCACGGTGCCGCTGCAGATCTCTCCGGAGCAGCTCCAGCAGCTTTACAATCCCTACGCCATCCAGGTGAAGCAAGAGTTCCCCACGCATACAACGGGAGCGGGCACGGAGCTGAAGCATGCGACCAATATCCTGGATGTGCAACAGCAGATGCAGCTGCAGCAGCAGCTCTCCGATGCCAACGGAGCCGGAGGAGCTGCTGGAGCCACAGGAGTGGCGGGAGGCGCACCAAGTCCTGCCAATGCCCAACAGACGCAGCAGCAGCACTCGACGGCCATCAGCACCATGTCCCCGATGCAGCTTGCGGCGGCTACCGGAGGAGTGGGCGGTGATTGGGGGCAAGGCAGGACGGTGCAACTGATGCAGCCCTCGACCAGCTTCCTGTATCCGCAGATGATCGTGTCCGGTAATCTGCTGCATCCTGGCGGCCTTGGCCAGCAGCCCATCCAGGTGATTACCGCCGGCAAGCCCTTCCAGGGCAATGCGCCTCAGATGATCACCACCACGACGCAAAATGCCAAGCAGATGATCGGGGGACAGACGCAGTTCGCTGGAGGCACCTATGCCTCGTGCCTGCCCTCCAACCACAACCAGTCGCCACAGACGCTGCTCATCTCGCCGGTGAATGTGATCTCGCACTCGCCACAGCAGCAGCAGAACCTGCTTCAGTCGATGGCGGCTGCAGCCCAGCAACAGCAGCAGCAGCAGCAACAGCTGACACAACAGCAGCAACAACAGCAGCAGCAGATTACTCAGCAGCAGCAACAGCAGCAGCAGCTCACGGCGGCCCTCGCGAAGGTGGGCGTGGATGCGCAGGGCAAGTTGGCCCAGAAGGTGGTCCAGAAGGTGACCACCACCAGTAGCACGGTGCAGGCAGCGACGGCAGGCGGAGCAGCAGCCACGGCAGCCCAGGCCCAGCAGGTGCAACAGGTCCAGCAACAGCAGCAGCAGCAGACTACGCAGACCACCCAGCAATGCGTTCAAGTCTCGCAGTCGACGTTGCCCGTGGGCGTGGGAGTAACCCAGGCTGGCCAGTCTGTTCAGTCAGTTCAGGCCGCCCAGCTGTTGAACGCCGGACAGGCGCAGCAGATGCAGATCCCCTGGTTTTGGCAAAATGCGGCTGGACTGCAGTCCTTCGGCTCGAACCAGATCATCCTGAGGGGCCAGCCAGACGGAACCTCGGGCATGTTTATCCAGCAACCGGCCACGCAGACCCTGCAGACGCAGCAGAACCGTAAGTCACCCTATACTAGTATTCATTTCCATCTGGTCCTAATTATGCGTGCTTTCCTTTGTTTCCTCAGAGATTATCCAGTGCAATGTGACCCAGACGCCCCCTAAGGCTCGCACCCAACTGGATGCACTTGCCCCGAAGCAGCAGCAACAGCAGCAGCAGGCGGGAACTGCCAACCAGACACAGCAGCAACAGCAGCAGCAGCAGTTGGCGGTAGCCACGGCTCAGTTGCAACAGCAGCAGCAACAACTCACGGCAGCGGCTCTGCAACGCCCTGGAGCCCCGATCCTACCCCACAATGGCACCCAGGTGCGTCCGGCCAGCTCGGTGTCCACGCAGACTGCCCAGAACCAGAGCTTGCTGAAGGGCAAGATGCGCACCAAGCAGCAGCCGGTGCGACCTGCCTTGTCTGCCCTGAAGACGGAGAACGGCCAGTTGGCGGGTCAGAACAAGGTGGTGGGTCACATGGCCACCGTGCAGCAGCAACAGCAGGCGACAGCGAATCTCCAGCAAGTGGTAAACTCGGCGGGCAACAAGTGAGTAATCTGAGACACCTTGGGCCAGATCATGGAGCTAACTGATTACCTATGTATCATTACAGAATGGTTGTGATGAGCACGACGGGCACTCCCATTACCCTCCAGAACGGACAGACTCTTCACGCACCCACAGCGGGAGTGGACAAACAGCAGCAACAACAGCAGCAGCAATTGCAGCTGATTCAGAAGCAGCAGTTTCTGCAACAGCAAATGTTCCAGCAGCAGATCGCTGCCCTCCAGATGCAGCAGCAGGCGGCAGCTCAGGCCCAACAGCAGCAGCAGCAACAACAAGTCACCCAACAGCAGCAGCAGCAAGTGACCGCCCAGCAACAGCAGGCGGTGGCGCAGGCTCAGCAGCAACAGAGGGAACAGCAGCAGCAGCAGCAGCAAGTGGCCCAATCCCAGGCGCAGGCGCAACAGCAGCAGGCGCTTGCCAACGCCACTCAGCAAATCCTACAGGTGGCCCCAAACACCTTCATCACCTCGCACCAGCAACAGCAGCAGCAACTGCATAACCAACTGATCCAGCAGCAACTGCAGCAACAGGTGCAGGCGCATGTCCAGGCGCAGGCCCAGGCGCAGCAGCAACAGCAGCAGCAGCAACAACAGCAGCAACAACAACAGCAGCAGCAGCAGCAGCAGCAGCGGGAGCAACAACAGAACATCATCCAGCAGATTGTTGTGTCAGGCGGAACGACTCCTCAGCAGCAACAGCAGAACACGGGGCAGCTCCAACTGAGCAGCGTGCCCTTCACGGTGTCTTCGACCACGACGCCAGCCGGAATAGCCACCTCCAGTGCCCTGCAGGCGGCTCTCTCCGCCTCCGGCGCCATATTCCAGACTGCCAAGCCTGGCACTTGCAGCTCATCACTGCCCACTAGCAGTGTGGTGACCATAACCAACCAGAGCTCGGCTCCTCTGGTCACCAGCAGTACGGTGGCTAGTCTCCAGCAGGCACAAGCTCAAGCCCAGCTCCAACAGCAGCAGCAGCAGTTGATCACCACCGCCATGGCAGTAGCCTCTCAGCAGCAGCAGCAGCAGCAACAACAACAGCAGGGACCACCCTCCCTGACAGCCACGACGCCCTCGCCCACCACGAATCCCATCCTGGCCATGACCTCCATGATGAATGCCACAGTGGGGCACCTGTCAAGCGCTCCACCCGTCACAGTCTCTGTAACCAGCACCGCAGTCACTCCATCGCCTGGCCAATTGGTGACCCTCAGTAGTGCCAGCACGCCCACCAAGGAGACGCCTTCGAAGACGGCCACCCTTGTGCCCATTGGCTCGCCCGTGACGCCCGCAGCGCTTCCAACTCAGGACAGAAGCGCGACGCCGAAATCCTCAACACCAGCCAATGTGAGTGCATCCGCGGAGGCCAGCAGTTCCACCGGCGAGGCCCTGCCCAACGGAGAAGCTACTGAGGCGGCGTCTACGCCGGTGAGGACTGCCACCACACCCACCAGCAAGCAAAGCAACACGGTGCAGCCCACGGGCAGCAGCGGCACCACACCCAGCACCACTACCACACCCAGTGGTAAGGAAGAGACCAAGGTGGCAAGCTCCATCAACTCTAGCGCCGCCACAACGCCTACCACGACGAAGACGGTCAGCAATGGGATCGGAACGGGGAGGAGCACAGCGTGCACCACGGGTAGCACTACTGTGACCACCACCACCTGCAGCACTACCACCACAACCTGCAGCAGTGCGACCAGTACAACCACCACGACGACGAGCAGCAGCAATGGTGCGAAGGATCTGCCCAAAGCGATGATTAAGCCAAACGTTCTGACCCACGTCATCGATGGCTTCATCATCCAGGAGGCGAACGAACCTTTTCCGGTCACGAGGCAGCGCTATGCGGACAAGGACGTCGCCGATGAGCCGCCCAGTGAGTACCTCAATCACACACTATGGTTTGCAACTGTGTTAATCTCCATTTTTCCCATCTTCATCCTGCAGAGAAAAAGGCGGCCATGCAGGAGGACATGAAGCCCAGTGGAATAGCGTCCGCTCCAGCCTCCGACATGGTGGCCTGCGAGCAGTGCGGCAAACTGGAGCACAAGACGAAGCTCAAGCGGAAACGATTCTGCTCGCCGGGATGCGCAAGGCAGGCGAAGAATGGCATTGGAGTGGTAGGAGTGGAGACCGGGGAGACCAACGGTCTAGGAACCGGCGGAATCGTTGGAGTGGACGCTATGGCGTTGGTAGACAAGCTGGACGAGGCCATGGCCAAGGAGAAGATGCAGACAGAGGCCCTGCAGGCTCTGTCCGAGCCCTTGCCCATTCTGGCTGCTCCAACGGAAGTTCTACCACCAGTGTCCCTGCCTGTGCTGGCAACCGGCATTCCGACCCCTGTTCCACTTGCACTTCCACTGCCGATGCCGCTGGGACTGCCGTTGCCAGTAGCTATATCTGCTCCAGCCCCACTGCCAGCAGTTATTCCTGCCGCGGCACCCGCAAGCTCCAGCGTAAACGGATTGGATCGCTCGCCCATTAGTAGCTGGAGCGTGGAGGAGGTCAGCAACTTTATCCGGGAACTGCCAGGTTGCCAGGACTACGTGGACGACTTTATTCAGCAGGAGATCGACGGCCAAGCTCTTCTGCTGCTTAAGGAAAACCATTTGGTGCATGCCATGGGTATGAAACTAGGACCAGCACTCAAGATCGTGGCTAAGGTGGAGTCAATGAAGGAGGTGTCACCCCCTGCTGATGGCAAGGAGACCGCCGCAGCATCTACGATAACGGCAGGAGCGCAATAGTGTCGGCGAGATGAGGCAGACGAAATAATGCTATCACCATCGTATTCGATCACCCCTCCACCTTATTCACCGGTGGGACCGGTGCCAGAGAGCCACACCAAGCCACAATCGACAGCATCCGGTTCTGCCAGCACTCCGCCGGAGTCCGAGGACAGCAGTGGCGGCAGCCACCTGTGCTTCGATTTGACGACGCGCCTCTGCCACGACCTCAAGCTGGAGGAGGAGCAATAGCTCTGGACCTGGTCTAACCTGGTCTGCCGCCGTCGTCCAAGGAGAATCATTTTCTGACCCTGGGCGAACCGAAGCAAAACGAAGCAAGTTAACCGGATTAGTTGGTCTTCTCGTAGCTAAAGCCATACCCGCCACATGTAAGATAAAGCATAGACTGCTCTCCCGGTCACCAACCACCAATCATCATCTCTGTACAGACATGAACACCAATTTTTTATTGAAACGGTGTTTGGCATTTCATTATACATTAAGAAATCATTGGATTTATAGACCCATTTCTTCATTCATTGCTTCATATTGTAAATTCTTTTTTAAATGCAAAAATATGGAAGATATTGTAATTATATTTAGCAGTGGAGTCGCACTATTAGGTGTAAGTTGAAATTATATATATTTACTTGAATTGTTAGCATTATGACCTGAGCCTGAAGTAAGTCCTCAGCGAAACTGAATTGTATAAAAATAGACACTTAATTTAATCTGTAAGTCAAACTGATTATATATAGCTAAGCAGCTAATTTATAAACTAATGTAGGCAGAGATGTAGGAATGACGCATATTTACATACCGCGTTCACCACATAATTATATATATATATATATTTAAGTTTTTTTTTTTAAGTTCCATGTGTATAATTTAAAAAAAAATCTTTTTTTGCTATTGCTAAATGAAATTTAAAAAAGAAATCACTGCATAGTGTTTCATAGATGTGAAAATGGAATTTTAAATGAGTTTTATTTTGGGAGGTTTGTTTATTGTTGCAGTAATTTTTGTTGTTGTTGTAATTTTTGTTGTAATTTTTGTTTTGTATTTTTTGTAGTATTTGTTGTTGTATTTTTTGTTGTAATTTTTTTTGTAATTTTGTTGTATTTTGTTGTTGTAATTTTTGTTGTTGTTGTAATTTTTGTTGTTGTTGTAATTTTTGTTGTTGTAATAGTAGAAGAGTTGTTTGTTTTTGTTGTAGGAAAAACAAGACTTCGGTCTCGACACTTTCAGTACAAAATCGCCGATTTCTGAATCTGAAGTACCAGGCGAACAGAAACCGCAGCAAGCTGATTAATTTTAGTGCACGAGGTGCAAATTAGAGTTGTCCGCTTAGCTATATTGTAGCAGAGCTTAAAGCTTGGAGCTTAAAGCTCAGATCTTAAATCTAGCTAGAAAATAGCTAGTTTGTCAACTCTATATATGAAAGTTTTTGTAGTGTGACCAACTCATTTTCACACGCTTTTTTGAAGTGTGACCAGATCAAGTCCACTACTTTTGGCTCTCTTTATCGTAAGGTATTTATTTTGTGCTATCGTTATCGGTGTATATCGATATATCAAAATCAGCTGTTCTGTCAAGATCAGAACCGTAAAATTAAATGTTAGTTAATTTCATATATTAAAACGTAGGAAGCGAGTGCAGACCGATGGTTTCTAACTTGCGCAACGCAAGTCATCAGCTTCCCCTGCACTTGGCACTAGCTGTGAGTACTTATATAATGCTCCACCGCTGGGACGCCTGCGTGGACAGATGCACTTCAACCGCTTCAACCAAAATATGATGAACTTCTATGCAGACAACCATAATTCCCAACTTGAACTTTTGTTGGGGCAGCCAGCTAGTCAGCAAATTCCAGCAAGGGCTCGGACAGAGCCTGCAGGGCATCTGTCTGCATCTTTTCCTTGGATATGGCCTCGTCCGGTGGAGCAGTCAGAATGGGCAGAGCGTTGGACAAAGAGTGCGGGGCATCTGTCTGCATCTTCTCCTCAGCCATGGCCTCGTCTAGGTTGTCTACCAACGCCAAAGCGTCCACTCCAACGATTCCGCCGGTTCCTAGACCGTTGGTCTCCCCGGTCTCCACTCCTGCCACTCCAACGCAATTCTTCGCCTGCCTTGCGCATCCCGGCGAGCAGAATCGCTTCCGCTTGAGCTTCTTGTGCTCCAGTTTGCCGCACTGCTCGCAGGTCACCATGTCGGAGGCTGGAGCGGACGCTATTCCACTGGGCTTCATGTCCTCCTGCATGGCCGCCTTTTTCTCTGCAGGATGAAGATGGGAAAAATGGAGATTAACACAGTTGCAAACCATAGTGTGTGATTGAGGTACTCACTGGGCGGCTCATCGGCGACGTCCTTGTCCGCATAGCGCTGCCTCGTGACCGGAAAAGGTTCGTTCGCCTCCTGGATGATGAAGCCATCGATTACGTGGGTCAGAACATTTGGCTTAATCATCGCCTTGGGCAGATCCTTCGCACCATTGCTGCTGCTCGTCGTCGTGGTGGTTGTACTGGTCGCACTGCTGCAGGTTGTGGTGGTAGTGCTGCAGGTGGTGGTGGTCACAGTAGTGCTACCCGTGGTGCACGCTGTGCTCCTCCCCGTTCCGATCCCATTGCTGACCGTCTTCGTCGTGGTAGGCGTTGTGGCGGCGCTAGAGTTGATGGAGCTTGCCACCTTGGTCTCTTCCTTACCACTGGGTGTGGTTGTGGTGCCACTGCTGCTCGTGGGCTTTGCTTTGCTTGCTGGTGGGTGTGGTGACAGCCCTCACCGGCGTAGACGCCGCCTCAGAGGCTTTTCTGTTGGGCACGGCCTTGCCGGTGGAACTGCTGGCCTCCGCAGATGCATTCACATTGGCTGTTGTTTTGGATTTCGGCGTCGCGCTTCTGTCCTTAGATGGGAGTGCACAATGGTGGCCGTCTTCGAAGGCGTCTCCTTGGTGGGCGTGCTGGCACTACTGAGGGTTACAGAGGCTGTGACGGGTGGAGCGCTTGACAGGTGCCCCACTGTGGCATTCATCATGGAGGTCATGGCCAGGATGGGATTCGTGGTGGGCGAGGGCGTCGTGGCTGTCAGGGAAGGTGGTCCCTGCTGTTTTTGCTGCTGCTGAGAGGCTACTGCCATGGCGGTGGTGATCAACTGCTGCTGCTGCTGTTGGAGCTGGGCTTGAGCTTGTGCCTGCTGGAGACTAGCCACCGTACTGCTGGTGACCAGAGGAGCCGAGCTCTGGTTGGTTATGGTCACCACACTGCTAGTGGGCAGTGATGAGCTGCAAGTGCCAGGCTTGGCGGTCTGGAATATGGCGCCGGAGGCGGAGAGAGCCGCCTGCAGGGCACTTGTTGCCCGCCGAGTTGACCACTTGCTGGAGATTCGCCGTCGCCTGCTGCTGTTGCTGCTGCACGGTGGCCATGTGACCCACCACCTTGTTCTGACCCGCCAACTGGCCGTTCTCCGTCTTCAGGGCAGACAAGGCAGGTCGCACCGGCTGCTGCTTGGTGCGCATCTTGCCCTTCAGCAAGCTCTGGTTCTGGGCAGTCTGTGTAGACACCGATCTGGCCGGACGCACTTGGGAGCCATTGTGGGGTACGATCGGGGCTCCAGGGCGTTGCAGAGCAGCTGCCGTGAGTTGTTGCTGCAATGGTTACCGTCAACTGATGCTGTTGTGTCTGGTTGGCAGTTCCCGCCTGCTGCTGCTGTTGCTGCTGCTTCGGGGCAAGTGCGTCCAGTTGGGTGCGAGCCTTAGGGGGCGTCTGGGTCACATTTCACTGGAGAATCTCTGAGGAAACAAAGAAGAGCAAGCATAATTAGGACCAGATGGAAATGATTACTTGTATAGGGTGACTTACGGTTCTGCTGCGTTTGCAGGGTCTGCGTGGCCGGTTTCTGGATAAACATGCCCCAAGTTCCGTCTGTTTGGCTCCTCAGGATGATCTGGTTCGAGCCGAAGGACTGTAGTCCAGCCTTACGGCGAACTTTATCCATGTGACACAGTTCTCTGGTCCGAACTCCAGGAACTCCTCTTACAGCAGCCGACAGCGTTCGAACTCGCGCAACTAGATCTCCAGGCCGATGTAGGCGCGAAAGAGCTTTTTGTGCGGACGCATACAGATGGCCAGGCCAGGGCCTTTTGAGTCCGCTGCAGCTCCTTGTAGCTGATCTCGAACTGGGCGTAGAGCAGCCACAGCTTGCTGAATGTGAACTGCATGTGCTGCATCAGCTCCAGGCAGGCTTTGTGTATTTGGCGCGTGCGCTCCGCATCTTCAGCCTCCAGCTGCTTGTACAGCGCGTAGTTGATTCACAGATTGATGTTGCGTCGCCAGAAGTTCTTCTCGTTCGCTCGTACGTCTCAAGGATCTGGTCGCGCTCGCTCTCCGCCTCGATGAAGCGCAGGTAGTCGATTTTCGGCCACCTCCTCGTACTGGTACTTGCGCTTGGAAACGATCACGTCCTCGATGCCAGCCCGATTGCCGTACTTCTTCTCGTGTATGGCGTAGGCCTTAAATAGCTCCTGGCGGGCAGATGTCTGCCAGGCCTGCCGCTCTGGCTGCCACTCCATCCAGCGCTCAAATACCTACAGCGCCCCCGGTATTATGGTAACGGCATTATGATAACGGCATTATGGTAACGGCATTATGGTAACGGCGCGATCCCACAGGTCGCAGGCATGGCTCACCTTTTGTTCTTTATCTCCATCTCAGCGTACTTTAGCCAGAGCGTAACGTCATGGTGCTTGTTGTCCAGCGACCGCTCCCAAATGGAGCGCGCCCGGTGGATCTCCTGCTGCTGCATATTTGCGCAAATTTGATCCAGTTGCTGACGACCACGCGGTTTTTGCGCTAGAGGTGGAGAGCTATCGATGGCACTATCGACACTATCGATTGTTTGGCGCTATCGCACCGCCATCGATGGCAGCCCTGCACTATCGATAGTTTTGCACGCGGCTTATCACATCACAGAAAAAATAAAGTTGAAAGTGGAACGCCAAAATATAGTGAAAAGCTAAAGTATAGCTGAAAGTAAATAT